ATATTGTATATCAATTATACCTTGATAATAATAATAATAAAAGAAATTGCTTGATCTTAATTTTTTCTTTATCCATGTTGTAATTCTCAGAATTTTTTAAAAGGCTTTTTTGCAACTATTTCCTCAAGAGCTCTGCCCCCAGACTTTCTTCTCAGATGAAGATAGCTCGCTTTCAACTTTGCATCTTCATTTTTCTCTAGACTAGGCACTTTTTCTCTCATTTCTTTCATCTCAGCAAAGATGTCATGGGACGGTCTGCAGATCCAGGGCTCCCTCATACACCTGACCCTGGGAAAAGCAAAGAACATGCCATCTCTTCCAGTGACTTCCCCCTATCATTATTTAGAAGTGTATTTCATAATTTCCAAAGAAGTGGCGATTACACTAATTACCTTCTTGTTATTGATTTCTAGCTTCATTCCACTATAGCCAGAGTCAAACTCTATGACTTACATTCTTTATAGGCTAACATACGGTGAATTTTTGAAAATGCTTTGTATGTATTGAAAAAGATTGTGAGGCATCTCTCTCGAATGGTGAATCCTCTGGTTATCGCTGCCATCCTGGCCTTGGCGGTGCTGATTTCGAGACCCTCCGGAGCAGAGTTCCATGCAGGGGGATGTGTTGGAGTCCCTGGCTTGGCGTCCCGTTCTCTCAGGCCTCTGCGGGCCGCAGAGGGGCTAGATGATTGGGAATGGGGCTGGCAGGGGTACAGGCAGCCTGTGGTCGGTGACGACTCTGGAGGTCCAGTGTCTCGCAGTGACCTCTAAAACATGGTTTGCTATTCACTTGAGCCAGAAAACCCCACAAACTCATGCAAGTCAAGAGATTCAAATCTTCATGTTCACTTTCAGAACACTCGTGAAACTGCCCAGGCCAGTAAGGGTATGCATATCCGTAAAGCCACCAAGTGTCTGCAAGATGTCACTTTAAAGAAGCAATGTGTGCCATTCCGTCGTTACAATGGTGGAGCTGGTAGGTGTGCCCACGCCAAACAGTGGAGCTGGACTCAGGTCGGTGGCCCAAAAAAAGTGCTGAATTTTTACTGCACATGCTCAAAAATGCAGAGAGTGATGCTGAACTTAAGGGCTTAGATATAGATTCCCTGGCCATTGAGCACATCCAGGTGAACAAAGCCCCCAAGATGCGGCACAGGGCTTAACAGAGCTCATGGTTGGATCAACCCATGCATGAGCTCTCCCTGCCACATTGAGATGATCTTTACTGAAAAAGAAGAGGTTGTTACTAAACCAGAAGAGGAGGTTGCCCAGAAGAAAAAGACATCCCAGAAGAAACAAAAACTTATGGCCTGGGAATAAATGTCACAAAAAATAAATGCAAATAAAAGTTTAAAAAATAAATAAATAAAAAGAATGCGTATTTGGTAGTTGGGTGCTTCTAGATGTTTTAATTAGGCCAAATGCATTAATCATCTCATTTAAATATTCTGTATCATTGCGAATATTTTGCCTGTTTCTATCAGTTATTAAGAGAAGTATGTTAAAAATCTTCAAGTATGAAGTAAGTCAAAGAGAAAGACAAATACAATATATCACTTATATGTGGAATCTAAAATATGACACAAATGAACTTTTATGAGACAGAAACAGACTCACAGACATAGAGAACAGACTTGTGGTTGCCATGGGGTGGGGGGAGGTGGGAGAGGGACAGAGTGGGAGTTTGGGGTTAGCAGATGCAAACTATTATATAGAGAATGGATAAACAACAAGGCCCTACTGTATAGCACAGGAAACTATATTCAATATTCTGTGATAAACCATAATAGAAAAGAAAATTTAAAAATATATATATAACTGAATCACTTTGCTATACAGCAGAAATTAACATAACATTGTAAATCAACTATAGTTCAATAAAAAATTATTACAATGTTTAAAAAAATCTTCAAGTATGGTTACAGGTTTGTCTATTTTTCCTTGAAGTTCTGTAATTTTTGCTTTATAAAATTTGAGGCTGTGTTATTAAGTGTATACAAACTTAGAATTTTTATCTTTCTGTCAGATTAACATTTTCTTTTGGCTAGTGTTTGAGTGTTTTTTTAAAAAATTGGAATCTTTATATTTTATGAGTGCTTTCGGAATCTTTATATTTTATGAGTCTCTCATCAGAGTTTTGTTTTTTAACCAACCTGATGATCTTTGTCTTTTCATTAAAACATTTAGTCCATTTTTGGGCTCCCCTGGTGGCGCAGTGGTTGAGAGTACGCCTGCCGATGCAGGGGACACGGGTTCGTGCCCCGGTCCGGGAAGATCCCACATGCCACGGAGCGGCTGGGCCCGTGAGCCATGGCCGCTGAGCCTGTGCGTCCGGAGCCTGTGCTCCGCAACGAGAGGGGCCACAACAGTGAGAGGCCCGCATACCGCAAAAAAACAAAACATTTAGTCCATTTTCATTTACCGCAATTACTGGCTTAAATCTAACATCTTACTAATTTCCTTCTATTTTTCACGCATGTTCCTTTTTCTCTCCTTTCTTGCCTTCGTTTGGATTGATTTTTTTATCATTTTATTGTCTTAATAGTTTTACACTCTCTTAACTTGGTAGTTATACATTGTATTACTATCCTTTTAGTGGTTGTACTAGAGATTATAATATGCATCCTTAACTTATTAAGTCTAACATAAATTAGTACTTTTATTATTTCCAAGACAATGCTGCAAGCTTAGAACCTTTAACTTAACCTTTTCTCCCTGAAAATCATATGCTATTGTTGTCATGTATTTTAATTATACATATTTTTGAACTCCATAGAACATTATTAGAAGCATTCTAAACAATATTAATTAAAATTTGTCCTTGTATTTACCCTCTCTAAAGCTCTTTATTCCTTCATTTCTGAGCTTCCATCTAGGATTATTATCTTTCTGCCTAAAGAATATTCCATTCCTCCCAGCCCTCCCAACTTATCCAACGCTTTTAAAAAATATTTATTTATTTGGCTGCGCCAGTATCTTCATTGCAGCGTGTGGGATCTTTACTTGCGGCACGTGAACTCTTAGTTGCGGCATGTGGGATCTAGTTCCCTGACCAGGGATCGAACTTGGGTCCCCTGCATTGGGAGCATGGAGCCTTAGCCACTGGGCCACCAGGGAAGTCCCTATCCGACAATTTTTTATTGTTGTTTGTATATTTTCATGGATATATATATATATATATATCTTGTGGATATATATATATCTACAAGATTTTATTATTATTATTGTTCATATGGTCAATGTTTACTTAAATTCACTCACATATTTGCCTTTTTTGTTGGTCTTTATTCCTTCCTGCATTTCCGGGCTTCCAAGTAGGTAATTTTCCTCCTGCTTGAAGGATACTTTAATATTCCCTTTATTGTATGTCTGCTGATGACAAAGTCTCTCAAGTTTTTGTTTCTGAAGTTTATTTCATCTCCATTTTTGCTAGCAAGAGAAGTCTAGGTTGGCAGGCAATTTTTTGTTTGTCAAACTCTCTAGTTGTATCTGATCTAACCTCCAGTTATCAAGAGGACTACATTTTTGGTTCTTAAAGATGAAAATCTTAGACATCATGCATATTTTCTTATATTTGGGTGAACATAAGCTCATTTTCTAAAGTTGGGAGTTGGAGTATATAACTATGGAATCTTCACTCAGGAAAAACCACAGTCCTTGCCCACCCTCCCTGGTTTAGAACAAATAAAATGAATATCAATATTTGGAAGTTTAAGAGAGGCAAGAATTCACAAAAATGCAGTCAGAGAAATGGGGTGAATTGTCAAGAGGCATTTCCTAAAGCAAAACCTTGGATGTTTGCTGCAATTCTCCAGGCTTTAAGAATGGTTCTTTTTCTAGAATGAATATGTATATATATGTAACTGAGTATAACTGAGTCACTTTGCTGTACAGAAGAAATTAACACAACATTGTAAATCAACTATACTTCAATTAAAAAAATTTTTTTAAAGAGTGGTTCTTTTTCTTTCCTTCTTACCTTCTCAACAAGTATTTTCTAAGCTCTGCTTAGTGCTAAGTACTGTAAATCTTGATAAATAAGGCATGGAGTCAGCCTGCAAAGAGCTTCCAGTAGAGAAGATGACTGCTACATAAGTAGTAGTAACAGACTGAGGCTTCATAAGAGCTGCATGGACAAAAATCCTTCCTAGTTCAGAGGAGTGAAAGGTTACTTTGAGGAAGTAAGGAGCTTAGGGAGGAAAGAATCAGGAAAAATACCTGTAGGAGGCAGCATTTGAGCTATACCTTTAAGAAGAGAAGGAATTTGGTCATGCCTAGATGGTGACAAGTGACAGGTGGCAAGCTTTCCTGGGAAACGTTGTCCAGGAAGGAATAGGCAAGTACTATGGTCACACTGAATTACACGTGCAAAAGAGCAGCGAGAAATAAGAGGAAGTGCCAAACTACAGACGGTCTTGAATGCCAGGCTAAGGAGTTCTGTTTGAGACAAGTGCTCAGCTAAAGCATGTCTTGAGCGTTTCTTCAGAGAGGTGAGGGAAAAGGCTGTCGGGTGTCTATCATCTATCAACCCATCTATTTGTCTATCATCTATCGGGACCAACTCTGTGCCAAGCCCTTTGCCAGGTGCTTTATACACAATCTCTCATTAAATCTTCTTGTCAGACTACGAGATAGGAATCAGGATCCTTACGTCGCGAAGGTGCCCTCACCCGTTTATCTTTCGCGGCTCCACGCACTTGCCTGTTGTCTTCTCAGGACTGTGTTAAGGACATGACCTGGGGTGTCAGACTGACTTTTAAGGCAGATCCTTATGTACTTCAGAGTGTGTGAGTAACTGGGAGAAGATCCCACAGATAGTGAGACTGCACCGAGGCAGCCGCCAGAAGCTGTCGCTCGGGCTGGGCACCAGCGCTGCTCCGGGAGGCTGGAGCACGCCCCGCCCAGTCGCTCGGGATTGGCCGCGGGAGCCCTGACAGATGAGGGGGCGGGGCCTCGAGCTGCGTCCCGGGACTCGCCCGGGACTCCGAGGCTGCAGGCCGCGCCTAGGCTGAGCCGACCCCGCGTGCCTCCCGCTTGCCTCCCGCGCCGCCCGCACGAGCGCTTCTTTCCAGCATGTTGTGGCAGGGCAACCAGGCACTCCGGCGCTTCTCCACCGGCCAGGTGAGTCCGGCCCCGGCGAGCGTCCCGGCTCTCACCCGGGGGCTGCTTTCCAGATCCGGAGAGGGCGGGCCGGGCAGCGGGGCTGAGGGAGGGCAGTGTTTACTTTGAGCAAAGTGTTTACTTTGCTAAAGGCCAGGACGACGTTTATAAAACCGGGAGAGTGAAGAGAAGGGTCCGGGGAGGGTCCTGAATGGGGCTTGTCGAGCGAGCCATTGTCTTCTACCGGGACGGGGCTGAGGATGTCTGGCTGGGATTGACAGGGTGGAAACAGTCGCTCGGCAAGAGGGAGAGAGTCGGTTCCCTTTCCGTTTTCATTTCAACTGTGAGATCCCTGCCTGGTTACGAGATGGAGCCGAGGTACAGGACCGAGACCACCTCCTGGAGGAGAGTGGTATCAAGTCAACCGGGTCCTCCTCGGCGGCCTGAGAGGTGTGAGCGCTCCCGACTGGCATGCAGGGCCCATTCAGATAACGGCACTCCGAGCCGGTGACCGCAAGCTCATTATTCCTGAGCTGCAGGCGGCAAGATTTCTAGGATCACCAGGCGCTGCAGAAGCAGCCACCCTGGAACATTAGTAAACTATGGTGCAAAAACCTAGCCCTGGCCCAGCCCCGCGCCTTGGAATTGCATCAGCCTCTCCAGAAACGGAATGAGGGAGGACACGTTGCATGGGGCGCTGCCTTCAGCACTTCAGGGGCCTGAGGAGAGATGCCTCCCTGCATCTAGGCAGACTCCAAGCTGTTTAGGGAAGAAAAAGTCCACCCCATGTACATCATTTCTTTTATAGGAAGTGCATGTTTGCTGTGTTATAAAAGAATTTGCTTTTTGATTCCTCTTCTCTGCCAAAGTCATATGCGCATGTGTACATATCCAGATGTAAAAAACTTGGAGCAGAGAGAAGTCTTGAGTAGCATCAAGAACTGGCCCAAAGTTGCATAAATGGAAAAGCTTTTGTCCCCCAGACAGCCACAAGTAATGAGAATTCACTTTATCCCATGCAGTCAGTTCTAGTTATTTTGGGAGTATTCACCTTTTTTTAAATAAGCAAAAAGAAACTTGCTCTGGCAGATATTTTGCTTGCTCTCCTATGCAGAGCTCTGGACTCCTCCTTAGCTTTCTCCTGCCACGTGGCACACGGGAATCTGGGTTGGATGGCACAGAGAACAAGGGGCTCGTGCATGCCTGTTTTATTGGCCTCTTCTGTCAACACCTTTCATTTAATTGTCTTTTTTTGGAGAGCAGAAGGGATTCCTGAAGGATGAAAAAAATGCCAATAATGGGGTTATATAAGATTTCAGTAATTAAAGATGAACATCCCAGGTGGCAAATGGCATAAACAAAAACACTCTCGTGGGGAAGTGCCAGGTATGGTCAGGGGTCAGGGGCCTGAGTCTATCTCCAGGAATACATGTGGGAGAGCAGTGCCATATGGCTGGGAAGAAGGCAGGTTCTTCAATGGCCAAAGAAAGACATGGAATAATAAGTGAAGAATTTGGGATATTTTACTCCATAGAAAATGGAGATTCATCCTTTGGACCGTGTTCTATAAGAATTGTTCAAAATCAGACATGGCTGGTGGGAGCATAAAATGGTACAGCTGCTTTGGAAAACTGACTCTTTTAAAAATAAAATTAAACATAAACCCATCAAATGACCCAGCAGTTGCCCTCATAGGTATTTACCCAAGAGAAATTAAAACTTATGTTCACACAGATACCTATTTATGGATGTTTACAAAGGGATTATTCATAATCACCAATTTAAATGTCTTTCAGCTGGTGGCAGGATAAGCAAACTGTGGTATATCCATCCATAGAGTGGAATCTTACTCAGAAAAAAAAAAGGAATGGACTTCTGATATATACAACAACATGGATGAAACTCAAATATGTATGCTAAGTGTAAGAAGACAGACTCAAAGGGCTGCATATGTATATGAGTCCATTTGTCTGACACATTGGAAAGAGTAAACCTAAAGTGATGGAAAAAAAGGCCAGGCTGGAGATAGGGGGAGGGATTGACAGCAAAGGGATGGGAGGGGATTTGGGGGGGTGATGGAACTGTTCTTTATCTTGATTGTAACAGTGGTTACATGACTGTGTGTTTGTCCAAACTGAAAGAATTTTACATTGAAAATGGTGTGTTCATTGCATGTAAATTGTACCTTCGTATGAAAAAAATTTTTTTAAATCACACAGCGCTTTTGAGTTTGGTATTAAAGCAGAATGAAAGAGGAATGAAAAAAAAACCTCTCAGAACTTAACAAAATCCAAGGAAGAAATTAGTTCATAACACTTCCTGATATAATTAATTTTTCCATTCTCTGTCTTAAAGAAATGGACTTAGAAATATTTAATCATCTCAGCTTAATGATATGACTGGATCTTATTAACTAGTGCAACTATATACAGCAACAAGGCCCCTTGTCAATTAGTTATTATTGTCCACTTCCAGTATCTTGCCCGGCTCACTACTTCTTAATTTCTCCCGATGGTGGGAGCTATTTAGCCTTAATATTTATTTGGCACTCTGTTCTTTAGCTGTTATTTCCTCTGCCAGTGTCTGGGACAAGCCTGGCTGTTGCTCTGGATTCATAGCTTGGTTCCAGGACTTAAGGTTACTTTATGATCCAATTCAAGAGGCTGGACCCTTCCCTGCTTCTTGAAACCAAGTACTGGCTTTATTCCCTAGCTCTAGCAACCAGGTCCTTAACTTGTTTCCTTGTTGCCTGACCCTCTGCATTGGCATCTAATTTGATTTAGGACCTTCAGATTCAACTTCAAACCATATTAAATTGTGTATTATGTACTGAGCACTTCATCTAAATCCTGAAGAAATAATAATAATAATAATAGGTATCATTGATATAAGACTTTGTATGCACCAGGCACTGTTATAAATGCTTTACATATACTCATTTAGTCTTCATAACATCTCAATGAAGTGGGTACTATTATAATGCCCATTCTACAAATCAGGAAACTGAGACCCAGAGAAGTGACATAATTTTTTTAGAGTCTCACAGCCAAAAAGGATAAAACAATAAACAAGAGATAAATAGTCCCTGCTTTCAAGGAGTCCACAGATTAGTGGGAAAAATGAGTAAACTTGCCTTTAGGTAAAGGATAATAACGGAAGGGAAATACAAGTGGGCAATAAAATATGAAAAGGCACTCAACCAAACTAGGGCAGGGACTACTCTTGTGCCTTCAGCTTAGGGATCCCAAACAACCCCCCCCCGCCCCCCGAGGCCAAACAGATAAGACAAAGGTAGCACTTGGGCTGGAAGGAGTGAAAGGCCACGTTCAGAGTTAAAGGGAGCAGCCCCTGCTCAGCTGCAGCTGACGTTTCCACATGGGAATGTCAACCATGGTTGACAAACCTCCTGATTTTTAAAGAGAAGTCAGAAATTCAGCCTGCTAATGTGAAACCTCCTAAAAATCTTATCACATTTCTTCTGCAGATGCTCTGTGGGCCAAATAAAATCCTCTTTGCCAGGCCACTGATTGCAACCCCACCATGCACTGTGCCCAGAGCTTGGCAAATGCTCAAAACATGCTTGGTGAACAGATCTTGCGCACCATCAGGCACGATTTGGGGAACCATGTGCCAAATGGTCCATTAAGAGTTAGGCATCTCAGTGTCTCAGAAAAATTTAGTTTGTTTTATTCTTTTGTGGGAAGGTCCTTTCTCCTTTCCAGTTCTCATTGGGAAAACTGCCAGTTCTCACAATTGCTCACGTGGACAGCTTTGACCTTATTTTACAGCCTGCTCTGTTGGTTCTATTAAGGTAACATCTGCTTCACAAAAGGGCTTCGGATCAGCACAGACTCTTAGCACTGTGCCTTTAAGTTCTCCAGAGAAGACTGTGTGTATTTTTCTTTAAACCGTTGGAACATAATCAGAGTCCATATTAACTTGCTTCCTGAAGAATTTCACCAGGATGTGGATAGCCGGGGAATGCAATAGTTGATAGTTTAAGAAACAAAAGCTCTATTCCCTGCAAAAGGCTCTTCTAATGCAGAATGTTATCTCTAGAGAACCCCAAGATAACAGCACTTATCACCCGGATTTAGAAATGCTGTGGGTCATTTTATGCCCGCTTCTTCTTTCTCACCAATATAACAAGGCACTGATAGTGCCTTAAAGTATGTTCTCTGGTCATCAGCCTAACCCTTTAATGAATGGTGCTGTCTCCCATGTCAGGACCACCATGATATTCCCTTAGAAAGTCTGATGGAACTATTTCCCGTAATTGACCTGTCAAACTATCGCCAAATTTTCCTTTTAAAAAAGAAGGGGTGGGGGAACCATCAACATAGGAAAGCCATAGAAGCACATCTGCTGAAGCGAAACAGATCTGAGTTTGCATCCTTCCTCTGCCCCTTATTAGCCCTGTCCGTGGCCAGGTTACTTAACTTCCCCGAGCCCTATGTTTTCTCATTTGTAAAATGGATCACAGTAAGGCTTAAAGACATATGATAAGGATTTGATACATTTTTTTTAATCAGTGAAAAAGGCTCAATACAGTGCCTGCCTTATGGTACACTCCCAGTAGGAAAGATCCATTATCATCATTTTTACTTACCTGGGCATTACTTGTGGTATAATAATGATACTAGTTGACATTTATTGAGCCTTTGTTATTGCCACACACTGCACTAATGCATTACATGCTTTATCCCACTAAATCCTCCTAACAACCTTATGAGATAGGTACTATTATTATTCAGATTTTAATTGATGAGGCTGAGCTCAAGGTAGCACAGCTGGTGTTATAGAAAAACAATGGCACTGGGGTAATAACTAGATTAGAATCTCAGAGCTGCCACTGAGTAGTGATTTGACTCCAGGCTGTATCTTTTTTTTTTTAATACCATCCATTTTTTCTTTTTTTTTTTTTTTATAAATTTATTTATATTTATTTTTGGCCGCGTTGGGTCTTTGCTGCTGCCCACGGGCTTCTCATTGCGGTGGCTTCTCTTGTTGCGGAGCATGGGCTCTAGGTGCGCGGGCTTCAGTAGTTGTGGCGTGCTGGCTCAGTAGTTGCGGCACACGGGCTCAGTTGCTCTGCGGCATGTGGGATCTTCCCAGACCAGGGCTTGAACCCGCGTCCCCTGCACTGGCAGGCGGATTCCTAACCACTGCGTCACCAGGGAAGCCCTTTCGTTCTTTTTTTTTTTATTCACTTATTTTATTTTATTTTTGGCTGCATTGGGTCCTCTCAGGGGTCACTCCTTGCCACGGCATGCGGGCCCCTCACTGCGGCGGCCCCTCCCGCTGCAGAGCATGGGCTCCAGGCGCACGGGCTTCAGCAGTTGTGGCGTGTGGGCTCAGTAGTTGTGGTGCACGGGCTTAGTTGCTCTGCGGCATGTGGGATCCTCCCGGACCAGGGATGGAACCCGTGTCCCCTGCACTGGCAGGCGGACTCCCAACCACTGCGCCACCAGGGAAGCCCCAGGCTGTATCTTAACCTCTCTTTGTTTTAGTTTCTTCATCTGTAAAGCCATCTGTAAAATGGCTTATTAATGTCTGCCTCTTGGGAGTCGTTGGGCAATCAAAATGAGGTAACACATATTAAATACCTGACACATACCAGGGTCTCCTTAAACTGTTTGCTACTACTTCCACCACTTTTTCCTTGACCCAAACTCCCCAGGGCAAAATCTTTTTTGTAGGGGGCAGACACACACTCTGTATAGCAGAGATTCGCAGACTTTAGTGTGCCTGTCAATCAATGGAGAGCTTGTTCAAATGCAGCTTCCTGGGCTAATAAAGTGCAGAGGCAGGATCCAAACTTCTTCATATGCTTTTGAGTTAGTGCCAGCTTCCTGACGGTCTGACTCAGTAGATCAGGGATGGGGCCCAGGAAACCACATTTTTAACATTTCCTCCCAGCTGATTCTGCCAACACAGGCAGTCAGCCCTCAGATCATACTTGGAGAAATAAGACTAAGGTGAAATATCCCGGTCCAGTTCTTTGGAATTATACTAACTCATTATACATACTTAAAATCTTAAACTCTGAAATTTTTCTCACTGCTAGAAACTCACCTTTACAGTTTCAGTTTTACCACTAAGCTCAGAAAGTGTTTCAGTGAATGTAGAATTTCCAGAGATACTGACATGGTTTCTTTAAACACTGTCTTTCTGGGGCAGTGTTCACTCTGGAATTGAACTCCCAATAACCAGATGACAGGTGAGAGCACATTACAATTGAGTCAGCTCATCCTCTTGGCTCTTGTATGTTTTAAGACTAATAATTTTAGAAGTCTTAAAATATTTGGTGTTGGTAATGGTATGAGGTAAAGCCAAATTTTGTAAGATAGCCAACACGCCAGGTCAGTTCTATTTCCAGCAACAGCATTAATTATAGGATTTTAAGATAGAATACTTAGAGAACATTTTGATATTTTTGATGGGAGGAAATGAAATAGTCATGCATTATCTGCAGGCAAATTGTGCTGTTCTTACAGAGTTAATCTGTTTGTTTGCAAGAATCTATTAGATGTTGAAGCTCTAGGCTCTTTTGGGATAGAAACTTTGGCTGGCCATGGAAAAGAATTTTTATACCAAAACCTTAATTGTTTAATTATCAGCTCACAGGGAAGATGTGAACCCATATGCTTTTTTTTTTTTTTGGCTGCGTTGGGTCTTTGTTGCTGCACGCGGGCTTTTTCTAGTTGTGGCGAGCGGGGGCTACTCTTCATTGCGTTGCGCGGGCTTCTTATTGCGGTGGCTTCTCTTGTTGCAGAGCACGGGCCCTAGGTGCGCGGGCTTCAGTAGTTGTGGCTCGTGGGCTCTAGAGTGCAGGCTCAGTAGTTGTGGTGCACGGGCTTTGTTGCTCTGCGGCATGTGGGATCTTCCCAGACCAGGGCTTGAACCCATGTCCCCTGCATTGGCAGGCAGATGCTTAACCACTGCGCCACCAGGGAAGTCCCTGAACCTGTAGGCTTTTAAGTTTATGCCTAAAAAGGGATGCCATCTATGCCCTTAAGAAAGTGGGAAATAAGGGAAAATTGTTTTCCTCATAGTCAGATTTTAACAGTGAGGCTTTACTAACTTAGAATGACTTTCTGGAATATTAATGAATCCCATTTAGATTGAAGGAAAAATATTCTAAATCCAAATCCTGTGGAGACGTATTCTAACGTGGAGGAATGAAAGATGGAAAGAACTCTGGGGAGCTGGGGTTGGTTCTTTGCCAAGACGGGAAGCTCATAGGAGGTGGTGACCCTCCGATTACCTCTACATGCACAATCCTGCAACTAGCCTGCTTCACCTGGTGGCTCTTCATCACCATCTTAACAATCATCATGTCAACATGTTACCTTAAGCTTTGTGAAAAGGTTTCATCTTGGGAGAATTTACAGAAGGCATAATTGCTTAAAGACAGTCCTTAAAAACTTTAACTCCTTTAGTGCCACTCTTATCTATGTGGTGTTTATATTTATTGACAATCACTGCATTTTTGTGCATCAGTGTTAATGTTCTAAAAAAGGAGATGGAAGAGATGGGCAGTAGTGGCTCATTTTATTTTTAAGTACCATTGTGGGTTTTGGAGTCAGATGGCCCTGGATTCAAATCCTACCTCTCCCTTGTTTTGCTAGTATGACCTTGGAGATATACTTGATATTTCTAAGTCTTGGTTTCTTCATTCATAAAATGGTACAAAATGGGGGATAAGAAAACAGGATAGTTGTGAGGATTAAAATAAATGAAATTATGTGCAGCCCTCAATTCCTTATCTGAAATCTGTGGGGCCAAATGTGGGGTTCAGAATCATTCACATTTGAGAAGGTCAATGTGGTATATAGCACAATTTACAGCAGGGTCTGGGATAGTAGTATCTGTAATGAAGCACATTGACTTTTTTTTTTGCGTTACGCGGGGCTCTCACTGTTGTGGCCTCTCCCGTTGCGGAGCACAGGCTCCGGACGCGCAGGCTCAGCGGTCATGGCTCACGGGCCTAGCTGCTCCGCGGCATGTGGGATCTTCCCAGACCGGGGCATGAACCCGTGTCCCCTGCATCGGCAGGCGGACTCTCAACCACTGCGCCACCAGGGAAGCCCCACATTGACTTTTCTGCAGCAAATTACAATATACTATAAGTAAAGACTGTAAGTGGCGTTATCAGTGCAGGTCAAGTTTGAAGCCAAATGACTGCATTAACTTATAAGAAACCTACAAAGACTATAAAGAACATTTCATTAGTTCAGTCCACGTCTTAAGACCAAATGAGTTTATGCCACTTACCAAGGACTGTAGAATTCTGGACCGTGTGAAAAAACATAGAATTGTCTAGTATGTAGGAAAGCCTTTAAAACATTATTAAAGCTTTTACTTAAACAGTGCTTTGTGTCAGACACTGCCTTAAGCCTAATGCATATTGTCATCTACCTCAATCAGAATTGTGTGAGTTGGTGTTATTCCAGTTTTACAGATGAGGGGAATAAAAGGCAAATGGAAGTTAGTTACTTGCTAAAGGTCACACAACTAACAAGGGGTGGGTGACCCTAGGTTTGACCTCAGGTAGTCTAGGATCTGCTTTTGACCCCTATGTTATACTAGATGTTAGCTCTTGGCATCTTTTGGAGGTGGGCATAAAAAATTGCAGGACATAAAAGCATTGTCAATATTGAAGTAGATCTTGCTCAGAATTACACCCCTTTTAACTAAGAAACTTATGCTTATTTGTTAACATCTGGCCTCATTTCATCAAGGAGTTGAAATGCCTTGTAAAAATATATGCAATCCCAATGATTATAATGAATAATCAAGGGAGTTAGAGCAAAGGGAAAATGAGGAATACTTGGGTGTGAAATTATTTTCACTACTACCTATATAGCATGTAGTCTGAGTTCAGTGTATGTCAATAACTATTTTACTGTGTAGATCTTTGAGCCTTTTGTAATGCTCAAGTCATCTTGTATGATTAAAAAAAGAGTGTTTATTATCCATATGTCTTCTATCCATACTAATACCTGTCACTGTTGAATTGCTTTGCAGGTTTATTTCAAAAACAAGCTGAAGGTGGCACTTATTGGTCAGAGCCTCTTTGGACAAGAAGTCTACAGCCACCTCTGCAAAGAGGGCCACCGAGTTGTGGGAGTGTTCACAGTTCCAGATAAGGATGGAAAAGCTGACCCACTGGGTGAGTGTATCTTGGAACAACTGGATCAAGGACTGCACTGGCCTCCACTCTGCCTGTTGAAAGCCTTCTTAGGCCAAGTCTATTTGTGTGGCAGATACAGACTCAGAAACTCTCCCTTCTCTGTGGGCCTCAAGACAAAGATGCCGGCCCCTATTTTACTAAGTTTCTCCACTTACCTCCATGGTAATCACCAGGTCCCTCAGAGGAATTTCCAAGCATGTGTTTTTCCTGAATTACACTTGTGACTTTCCAAAGGTGCTATGGGACATCTAGAGTAATGTCTGTTGCAGAGGTGCCGATAGGAATGCAGGGAAGGCCACACCCAACAATAGCAATTGATGTGGGGTCATAAAGAATACATTTATCTCAGAACAAATTATAGCTATGACTGCTTGGTTATTAAGGTAGGTAAAGAAAATAGCCATCCTCAGAGCAAACCTACAGCGTGATTCTGATTTGCATGCTATAGTTATGTTGAGAAAGAGTGCAAGAAACAGTCTACAGGTAGGGAATAAGAACTAGCATCTAGAAATCGTGACTTATGACTTGAATCTTTATAAATCACTGGTATGATGCAATACATTGGTTGGAAAACAATATCTGTGATAACCCTAAAATTTTACTTTTCTTTCTTGGAGGAATCAGCTCTGGGGTTTATTCTAGTTCTTGTTACTGGGGTAGTTGGATGAAGGCAGTCAAAAGGTACAAACTTCCCATTATAAGATAACTAAGGACTAGGGATGTAGTGCATAGCATGATAAATATAATTCACACCGCTGTACGTTATATGTGAAAGTTGTTAAGAAAGTAAATTCCTAGAGTTCTCAGCACAGGGAAAAATTTGTTTCTTTTCCTTTAATTTTATATCTATCTGAGAGGATGGATGTTCACTAAACTTATTGTGATAATCATTTCATGATGTATGTAAGTCAAATCATTATGCTGTACACCTTAAACTTACACAGTGTTGTATATCAATTATATCTCAGTAAAACTGGAAGAAAAAAAAAAGAGTCAAGCTAAAAAAGAGTTGGGCCAAGAGCACATATGCACATGGATTTAACCACTTGATTTAGAAATTATCCGTGTTTCAGAAAAAGATTATCTCAACCTGGGAAATTCTGAGGGAATCTGCCTCATGAATTCATACCTGGCTCCAAGGGCAGAAGGGGACAGATTCCCGTCACCAGGACTACCTGTCTCATCATTATCTACTCCCACCAGCTTTGTGTGTGGGATGTTTGGAAGGACTTACATTTGAGATATCAGATTGGCTGTTGAATCAGGAGGACCTCAAATAATATTAGCTTAAATAAGAGAGAAGTCCCTTTCTCAAGTTTGGATTGACCATCACAGCTGTTGTGGCAGCCAGATATTTATCACAATGAAGGCTCCTTCGGTTTGTTGTCTTGCCATTATCAACACTGGGCTTCCATCTCATGGTCCAAGGTAGTGGCTTCAGCCCCCACTATCAACTCTGCATTCCAGCAAGCAGAAGGGCAAGATGGGAAGCAGAGGGCAAGCCTTTATTAAGGGCATAATCCAGAAGTTTTACATATTACTCCCACTTGTATCCTGTTGGCTAGAACTTAGTGATAGGCCAAATCTATTTGCAGAACAGGCTGAGAAATACAGATTTTATTTGGGGTGGCCATGTGTTCAGCTAAAGTAGAGGAATCCTTGGTAAAGGAGGAAAGGGGGCAACTAAGAGTCTCTACCATGTACAGTGAACTTCAGAAGAATTGCAAGCATGTGACTCTTACACCTCCTTTCAGACTGTTTTCCCTGGTGCCTGGTCCCAGCATATGGTTAACAGTGTATGTTCTAGAATCATGAAACTAGTTCTGACTCTGCCACTTGATAGCTGTGTGACCCTGGACAAGTCACTTAAACTCATTAAGCTTAGTTCAGTGATACCCATCTCACATGGATGAAATGAGATAATGTATGTAAACTGCTCAGCACGGCACCTGATTCATAAAAAGGATCAATAATGACAGCGGCGATTTTTGTTGTCAGTATAGTCAACTAGAGCAACAAAAAATAGTCCTGGGGCAGCCAAAAATCAATATGGGGGAGCAACACCTGAATGGCTCAAGCTTGTCTCAGTGGAGTGGATTTTTCAAATGAAGACTTCTAAGTCTCTTCCACCCCATTTTTCTTTCCCAGTCTAACCTTTCACAATTTTCTCTCAATTTCACCACTTTTTTTTTTTTTTTGCGGTACGCGGGCCTCTCACTGTTGTGGGATCTCCCGTTGCAGAGCACAGGCACCGGATGCGCAGGCTCAGCGGCCATGGCCCATGGGCCCAGCCGCTCTGTGGCATGTGGGATCTTCCCAGACGAGGGCACGAACCCATGTCCCCTGCATTGGCAGGCGGACTCTCAACCACTGTGCCACCAGGGGAGGCCTCACCACATTTTTTTCACCACCATTTACCCACTTTCCTATCATCTGACATTTTGTTTTGTTCACAGCTTTTTGAACATTTTAGGAACATTTACATTTTGTAAACATTATTGTACTGGTCTCTCAGATTCTGCCAATTGGATTGACTAAGGCATCACCTTGAAGGCCAGGGCCATTTTAGGACTTGTTAGGCTTTGGCCTTTAGGCTTCATGGAGGCATCATCCCCTGCAGAGTCTATGAATGTTGGTGATTAGATGGGAATAAAGGAAAGGAAGCCCGAACATGCAGGTACAATGCCTTAGTTAAGACTTCTGGATATTGCCAAAAATGTGGTTTCTTTGTGTTATTGATGGAGAATAAATATATATATACTTAATATAGGCAAGGTATATAGTTAATAAAAGTGCTATTTTATTATGGAAAAAATGGGCTTGTGCTGTCTGTACTTTGGAGGACCATTCCATTTCACACAGAGGTAGGAAGGAGTCATTCCTTTCAGAAGGGACAACATTTCCTGAGCAAAGAGCCTGGGATCTGCTTCAGTAGGGCAAACCCTTACGGGGAGCATGGATTCTCCACTCTTGGCCTCTCTCCTCCACTAACTTATCTTATGGGCGAATTTAGGAGAAGGAACTAGACAGACGCAGCTCAACTCAGCTACTTTTGAAACCACACTCCTCCTCAGATGGGACTCAAACCCAGCCACACCTCGGACTAGGGCTGGAACCACAATCCCTGACCTAGGAGGGGACTTGAACCCACTGTCTTTTCATTGAAACCGCTTACCTAGTGTCAGGACTTACTGAAGCTCAGGTTCTTTTGTCTCAGCACAGAAAGAGTTCAGGGTGAGGCAGTGGCAGGCAAAGACTGAGTTTATTAGCATAGGAGGCTTGAGGGATACAAGCAGGCCGGCAAGGGAGTACAGCCCCAAGAACAAAGAGGGCTACTTTTTTTTTTTTAATGTTTATTTATTTATTTGGCAGCACTGCTTGCGGTGCGGGGGATCTTCGTTGCCGAGTACGGGACCTTCGTTGCGGCATGCGGGATCTTTAGTCGTGGCATGCGTGCAGGATCTAGTTCCCCCACCAGGGATCGAACCTGGGCCCCCTGCATTGGGAGCACGAGTCTTAACCACTGGACCACCGGGGAAGTCCCCAGAGGTCTACATTTTTATAGTCAAAGAAAAAATGGGAGGGGAGAAGACCACCTTCTTCCTCATTTTGTGTAGATGTCAAGGCTTACATCATTAGTTCCTCCTTTGACCCTACATGGTCTCACCGGGACTGTCATGGCGCTATTTAAATCATATGCATATCAGCAAAAGGGTGGTAACATATACTAAAATATGGTATTTGTCTCAGGTTTTGGTATAATGTCCCCTTCCACCTAGTTTCTTTCCCCTTTCACCTGTTTACCTGTCTTGGCTACATGCAAGAATGCGGTTTTTCTCAGGGTCTGTTATCTTATAGACCTCCCAAGGCCGAATGCAGGCTTATTTCTGTTTTTCTGTGGTATCAGCCTAAGTCAGTCTGTTTAGTTTCAAAATGTTCTGATTGTTGCTTAGCTGCCCGATGGTCTGGGCATTTTCTGGTTGGTGTCTAGCTTATGGTGATCTCCTGAAGTCTCTCTCTATCTGTCTTCCCCTAGTGGGATTTCTAGCTGTGTAACTACCTTATTCTATCCCTATCACTTTCTCCATTTATCTTTTGGGATCTGCCTGTTTGGCGGGGAGAGTGTGTTCCAGTCTACAGTTTTCCCTGTGATAAAAGGGACTTCCCCCCAGGAAGCAGGTGTGGGAAGGGAATCAAGGTTTTCCATCTGTACCAGAGGCTACGTCTAATTGGGATGGTGATGTTTTGGCACTTGACTCCAAATCTTAAGAAACAAACAAACGAATGTCCTTTAAATGGCTGTATCAGTAATAAAGGTACAAATTTTGATCTATAAAAGAAGCAGCTTCAGTTAAAATCTCAAAACGTTGTCTAGCCACAAACTTCTGAGTTGAATCATTATGCCTTAACTATATAGGAAAAAATCACATTAGAAAAATAGATGCATTTTGATAAAATTGTATCATGTCAAATCCTGGTCAGAATCTAAATTGTTCTTTACCATGTGTTATTTGTAAATGTTTCATGAAATTACAATGTGTGGATCCACAGTAATACAAAATTATGGCTAAAACTTTTTTGATGAAAATAATCTTCTCTTTCATGCTCAGCTTTGGCTGCAGAGAAAAATGGGACCCCTGTGTTCAAGTTCCCTAGATGGAGAGTCAAGGGCAAGACCATAAAGGAGGTGGCGGAGGCCTACAGATCCGTGGGTGCTGAGCTAAACGTGCTTCCCTTCTGCACGCAGTTCATCCCCATGGATGTAATTGACAGCCCTAAGCATGGTTCCATCATCTATCACCCATCTATCCTTCCCAGACACAGAGGAGCCTCTGCTATCAACTGGTGAGATTGTTTTTAAATAACCAAGATGGGCCCATCCCCATTGCTTGTAATCTTTCTGTGTTTTACCTAGGTGATCAAGCAACTAGGTATGCTTGAACAATTGTGAGGTCCCGATTGACTGCTACTGTTGCACAAACTCCCCTGAGATCTAGAGGTACTGCATAAGCCAGAACAGCGTTTCCCAAGAATAATCTATGGAGTATTGGCTCTATCAGATATAACTAGGTATTGAGCAGGCAAAGGTCCTGTGGTTAGACAAGTTTGGTTTATGCTGGATTTCTTTATCTCAGGACTCAGAAATTTTAATATGTGCTTTAACGTGGGCATCATAATCTCCAAGAGGGAATCTGAGTACAAAGTGTTCCCACACTTATTTGGCCGTAGAACATTTTTTTGCATAGAATATCTCAAGTACATTTCAGGAAATGCTGAATTACCTGAAATTATCTTTCTCATGGTGTGACTTCCCCCATTCTACTTTAAGCCTCTTGAGGGGAAATAGGACCCTGGTCTAACATTTTTACCGCCATATGTCCCAGTATCAAGAACACTGCCTGGTATACTGTAGGTGCCCAGTCCTATAGGTATACTATACTGTGGGTCAAGGTGGGCCTTTCCCACCTTCTCTACCTTTTCTCCTTTACCTGCACATCTCCCAGCTGTCTCTTAGTGTCAAGTTATCAGATAGGCAGAAAATCTATACTTAGTTTAAATGTGGTAAGAAAAGCATTTCATTGTATTTTAAGACCAATTACATGAATTGATTTCTTTTTTGCTCCTGTAAATAGTACTATAGTGAATATCTTTGTACTTAAACATGTATTTTTTTTCTCAGTTCACATTGCTTGCACATGCAGAATCACTGGGTCAAAATACATGAATATTTTCAAGGCTCTTAGATAACACAATGCCAATTAATTCCTCAATATTTCTGAAAAGAGTGGTTGATTGACTGATTGGTTGATTGATTTAGGTCTTGCTTGATTAGTAGCTCAGAGAGGTAAAAATGATTAGATGGAGAGCATGGCTGACCTACCAGTTCATACTCTGTCTATATTAGCCTGCTCTCTGATATTCTTTTATGTATGTATTTCCATATATCTGGTTTATTGTATGTATTATGAGGTCTGTAGGGCCAGCATTTCCTCTTAGGCTAAATTTATAGAATACAAAATACAAATAGTTGAATTAATCAACCATCTTTTACTACAATTTATAGCTAATCTAGAACTAATTCTAGCTCTAAGTGATGCTTGTACCTGAATTACACAACCTAAATTAATTATCAGTTCTCCTTTTCACATTGCACTGATCATCTTCTGTTTTATCTTCCATTATCTTATTCTGCCTAATACAGGGTCAGGTACACTGTAGGAACTGGACATGAGTGGGCAAAATTACTTGATGCTGCAGTAGAAAGCTGACACCTGGGAATCAGTGAGGGGTAGTACTGATGGTCTCTAATGGCTTTTTGAGTAGACTATAAGTCATTAGTATGTGTTAACAAGAAAGACTACAGAGGTGAAGTTGTATAAAGTAGCAGTACCATTAAGTTCTGCTTTTTTTGAGTGTTTACATCTCCCAGATCTGCTGTAATTTTCACAATAGCTTCATTCACTGTCTATTTTCCATTGTAAACACCTGGTACTTGAATGTCACTAATTTATCACCTTATGATACAGTTAACCAACATTTTATGTTGAAACTCTTCTTTTCCCAGGACTCTAATCATGGGAGATAAGAAAGCTGGGTTTTCTGTTTTCTGGGCTGATGATGGTTTAGACACAGGACCCATCCTCCTCCAGAGGTCGTGTGATGTCGAACCCAATGATACAGTGGATGCACTTTATAATCGGTTTCTTTTTCCTGAAGGAATCAAGGCCATGGTCAGTATATTTATGCTATCAAGGAGAATTTAGTCATGCTTTAAAGTTTTTCTTTTATTGAGAATTTGCTCCTGTGAATTTGTACTAAAAATAAAAAGCCCCAAAATAAAATTAGATTTTATATTTGCCAGTAGGATGGTATTTTGAGGGTGGAAATCTGCACTTTAGAATTTCTTAGTCTATGAATCTGACTTGTTCTTCTGAGAACAGTGATCAAGTGGATAAAGTAGTAATCAAACTCCTTCATTCGTTTTACCAAATATTTGAATCTCCAGCCCTGTTTATAATGACTAATTGTAAAGAAGCGGCAGAATCTTAAGAAATTTTGATATGTAATTTGGGCTTTCTTCAAAAACATTTAAAATCAGTCTATGTAAAAGGGTGAACTTTAACACTGCTTTATTTGTTCAGATATGCTCTGGATTAAAGGCTCAAAACATGTGCACCACAAAGAAAAAATACATTAACCTGTAAAAACATTGAAAGATAATTTCCATGTCATTTAATGTCTTCTGTAGTTTGATATGGTAGAAGTACAACACAGAGATGGACAGTAAGATGATATAAAGAAGCAGCCATTGATTTGGGAGAGAGGAGAGCAGTGCTTTGTATCATTTAACGATTAAGAGAGTAGTTCTCGTTTTACCACTTATTTGCTGTATAATAGGCAGGTCACTTAGCCTCTTTAGCCTTGGTTTCCTCATCTATAAAATGGGGATAATACTGCCTGACTTACAGGGTTGTTGTGAAAATTAAATGACGTTTGTGTAAAGCATCTGGCACACATAGGTGCTCAAAATGATCATTATAATCAAAATAGTATTTTGTGTGTTCAGTAGCATTCGAGCAAGCCTGGATCCCGTACCTGGTAATATTATAGCCAGAAATAGGTGGAATGAATGAGCTGTAAACTTGGCCCTGTTCCCAGGTGGCTCCCACCACGTGCTCTTTTGGGGGTTGGAGTACTCAGCTGTGAGTACTTAGAGAGAAAACTGAGAACTTGAGCTCACATAGGTCTCCCAGTGAAGGAGAGAGGCTCTCAACTCAAGGTAAACATAAATATGGCATGGAGGGGGATGTAGGACACATCCCAAAGGCAATCAAACTCATGGACAGTTTTAATTGTTTTTTTTATTCCAGGTGTCCTAAGCTAGAAAGCCAGTTGAATTCCTTAAATATGACTTTCTAGAATCATCATGATGAGCAGAAATAACCCACAATGACTTATTTTACAATTATATTCCTGAAATTTCCATTGAAACACCAAGGGGAGATTGAAATTTGCTTAAATAAAGGAGTCATTTTAAAAAGTACAGGATGGATATTGGCAGTAGATAGACCTGGATGCAGATCCTGCTTCCACCACCTACAAGCTATCTCTGTGATCTTGAGCTAGTTGCTTTTTCTCGAGCTAGTAGCTTGAGGCTTTTTGCAGGCCTCAGTTTCCTCCTCTGTAAAACAGGACTAATAATACCCATGTTGTAGGACTGGGATGATGCTGCAAGGGATATTTTACATAAAGTAGCCACTACACTGCCTGGCATAATTATGGATCCAAAGAAATGGTAGTTATTTTTATCAAAGTCTGACTCTCTGAACAGATTTATATGTAGTAATTCTGTTCAACAGAAACTTCAGTTAAACAGGCCATGCCATTGTTGACCACTGGGCTCTAACACAGTTAATATTTTTGGCTTTAGGTGGAAGCTGTCCAGCTCATAGCCGATGGAAAAGCTGCTCGTATGCCCCAGTCAGAAGAAGCTGCAACATATGAAGGTATCCAGAAAAAGGAAAATGCTGAGGTATTTATATCAACTCAGTAACACATCTCAGAGTTTATTGTCGTCCACCTTTAAGCAGTTCTCAGTTTACCATTTCCTACCAAAAGGTAGATCTCCAAGGGAGGCTGCTACCCCATCCCTACTCATGTCCGCCACTGATGGAGAGAAATGTTTCTATTGCCTTTGAGACTTGCAGCATTAGAAGTTCAACCTGTGCTTTGTGCATTTCTAGATCTCTTGGGATCAGTCTGCTGAAGCTTTACATAACTGGATCCGAGGTCATGATAAAGTCCCTGGAGCTTGGACAGAGATAAATGGACAGGTATGTTCTAGGAACCTTTTTTTTTTTTTTTTTTTGCATATAACCTTTGTAAGAGGTATTACACATAAGTCTAGGCTTCCTCTGGTTCTTCCTTTGGTTGTGAGGAGAGTCTGTGTTCTAGGTATACGTGACCAGCTAAAAGAGCTCTAGGTACACGTGACCACCTCCCTCTTTACTCCCCATGTATTGAGCATTTGGTGTGAAGCAGACACTAGGCACAGCCTCTGCTCTCAGGGCGACTGCAGTTTTATGGAGAAGGCAGAGAAGTGAATAAACACGCACAATGAAGTAAGACAAATGATGTAACTGAGGCCCAGACTCAGGTGTCTTAGGAAAGGCTTTCTAGAAAAGCTGACTGTTTTGCTTGCACTTCGAGAAGAGGTCAACAGGTAGAGAATGAGTCAAAGAGTTAAAGACCCAGAGGTAGGAGAGCATATTACCTGGACAGGGACTCGCAGTAGAGTTCAGTGAAGCTGTAGCTCCAGGTGTGAGAGGCATGGGGAGAGATGCAGCAGGGGCGGTGGGCGGGGTGGGGGGGGGGGGGTGGGCAGGAAAGGCCTTCTAATCCCTGTGGGATCTCCACTCAACTCAGGTTTCACCTCTTGTAGGAAGTCTCCTGACGTCACACGCCCAGCCTGGCGGGATTGGGCGTCCCTTCTCTCTGTTCCCGTAACGCCCTGCCTAGCTCTGACACAGCATATTATATACTATAAGCATCTCTTTATGTATCTATCCCTCTTACCCCCGTAGACTGTGAACCCCTCAGGGGCAAGAGCATCATGTTATTGTCTTGATACTCTCAGCACTTACACAGGGTTCTTAGTGCATATTAGGTGTCAATAAAAATATGTGGGATCAGCGAAGGACCAAGGGAAGAGGTTTAGTGCAATGCTTAAAGAGTGGGATTGGAGGGCATTATGGTAAGTGAAATAAGTCAGGCAGAGAAAGACAAATACTGTATGATATCACTTATGTATGGAATCTAAAAAGTACAACAAACTAGTGAATGTAATATAAAAGAAGCAGACTCACAGATACAGAGAACAAACAAGTGGTTACCAGTGGGGAGAGGGAAAGGGCTGGGGGGCAAGATAGGAGTAGGGGATTAAGAGGTACAAAGTATTATTTATAAATTAAGCTACAAGGATATATTGTACAACGCAGGGAATATAGCCAATATTTTATAAATATAAATGGAGTATAACCTTTAAAAATTGTGAGTCACTGTATTGTACACCTGTAACTTTATATTATACATCAACTATACTTCAATAAAAAAATAAAGAAGGCTACCATGGACATCCTTGCACATGTACCCTTGATCACATGGTTAGTACTGGGTGTATATCTTAGACTAGAGTGACATCATCATAGCATATGAATATATTTTACCACAACTGATAATACCCAGTTTTTCAAAGCAGATATACTCACACAAAAAAGTGTGGGCTCTGAAGCCAGAATGTTTCCATTAAAACTCTGGCTTTGCAACTATTTGCCGTGTAACCTTTGGCAGGTTATTTAACCATTGGGTGCAGGTTATTTCACCAATGGGTGCCTTGGTTTCCTCATTGTAGAATGAGACTAATAATAGCGCCTCCTTTATAGGTTTGGGGTTGTTGTGAAGATGAAATGAGTTAATACACGTTAATTCATCGAAGTACTTAGTCCCTGGCATAGAATGAGTATTCAATAACTATTAAATATTATAGTGCTCAATAAATGATAGCTAATGGCCATAGAATTATAATAATTATTATAACAACAAATCAATTAGTATCCAGTTCTCTTAGTTACAGTCTGGATCCAGTCCTGTTTCCATAAACCGACACACAAAGCACCTGTACCTCCCATCGTACATCCCACTGCAATATAATAGTTTGTTTACCGCTCTGCATCTGCCCTCCCTGATACCCCACCAACACCTCCACTTCCCCCACAAACCCTACCTTCAGGCTGCAAAGTCTGTGAGAGCTTTTATCTCATTCGCCTTTGTGTCAATGTGCATAAATGATAAATGTATACTCGTGTCACCTGGATGTGCGGCATTTTTTAAAACTCTTCAGTCACACATTCACAGACTATCTCTTGCTTTGTGTCATTTCCATAGATGCTTGATATCATTGGGGGTGGGGGGGGTCCCAAATTTTGTCATAGATGAGAATTGCAACTTCAGCTTTTTTGCCAGGACTGCTGCTCGCATACACCCTTATAACCAGCCTCCACTTCCCCCTTTCACAACCTGGGTTTGATCTCTTTATTAGGTGGTCACTTTCTACGGCTCATCATTACTGAATAGCTCCATCCCTCCTGGAGAACCACTGGAAATTAAAGGTGCCAGGAAGCCTGGTCTTGTTACCAAAAGCGGCCTTGTTCTTTTTGGTAACGATGGAAAAGCAGTGAGTGTTCAACATGGTTACCTCTAAAATAACTTTTTTGGTTTCCTTTGATAAACCCAAGCTATTGAGGGACTAGCTTTCACAGGGTAGTCTGGCTTTGCAGTGGGATGTGGGAGCTCAAGGTGTCTGTGCTCCATTTCTCTCTGGGGATGAGCTGGCTCTAGGTACCTTGATGAGAAGAAGGCTTCTCAGGACGGGCCCCGAGGACCCGCACAGCCTGGTTTGTGATACAGTAGAAAGATCTTGGAGTTTAGTCAGGAAACAGGTCATGAATCCCTGCTCTGCCACTTACTGGTCTTGGGCAAGACGCCTCTCCCCTCGGAGGCTCAGTTTCCGCATCTGTAAAACAGAGAGTGATCTTGTCTGTCTGCCTTCCCACTGGCAGAGTCTGGGAGGATCAGATGGTGTGGCCCTCTTCAGAGGCTCCCCCCTCTGCCTCACCAGGCAGGCGCCCACCCACTCTGCCTGTGCTTGAGAGCGTGGACTCTGGGCCTCTCTGGGCTCTTGGGCAGCTGCCCAGTGAAGAAAGCAAAAGGGCATTTGCAGCTCGCAGACACTCTCTGATGGCTTACAGGATAGATCAGTTACTAAGATTGTAGGCTGCAGAGTCCATCTAGTCCTGGGCTGTAACCCCAGTTCTGTTACTCACTGTGTGGCACTGGGCAAAGTACTTAATTTCATTGAGCCTCCATTTCCTCATCAGTAAAATGGGGATAATAAGGACACCTGCCTCCATCAGGATTTATGGGATTGAATAAGATACTTCAGTATATATGTACTTAGCACAGTGCATGCTGCAGAGTAAGTGTTCCAAAGATGGCAGTAATAGTAGTAGTACTTGTACTAGTAGCAGTGGTAGTTACAGTAGGCTTTAGACCCAATGCCTATATCCGAATGTCAATTTTGGGAGGGCTTATCATCCATTTTGAGATATACCTACCCGTAGACGTAACTTTCTCCTTTCTGCTGCCATGGCTGAAATACCATTTCAGTCCTTTTACACATAACGGTGAGTGCTTTTAATCCATTTTTTTTTTTTTTTTTTTGGTACGTGGGCCTCTCACTGCTATGGCCTCTCCCATTGCGGAGCACAGGCTCCGGACGCGCAAGCTCAGGGGCCATGGCTCACGGGCCCAGCCGCTCCATGGCATGTGGGATCCTCCCAGACCGGGGCACGAACCCGTGTCCCCTGCATCAGCAGGCGGACTCTCAACCACTGTGCCACCAGGGAAGCCCTAATCCATATTTTTATATTTGTCAAATAAGCTGCTTCTTATACCCATATAAGACTCCTCCCACCAGTCTCACTTCTGAATTGTCCTAATCCTCAATTCTTCTGCTTGTTTTGTTGTTATTTTATAGCTGATGGTGAGAAATCTGCAGTTTGAAGATGGAAAAATGATTCCTGCCTCTCAGTACTTTTCAGCGGGTGAGACATCAGTGGTGGAACTTACAGCCGAAGAGGTGAAGGTGGCAGAGGCCATCAAGGTGAACACGGGAAGTTCTTAATGTTACTCTTATCTTGGAAAACGAAACCATTTTTGTTAACTGGTACCATTAATCCTCAAAGTAGTTGGGATGGAACTTTTATTTCCTCTTTTTCGTATTAGCTGCAAAAGGAAATCAGTGCCAAAATTTATACGCACATTTATTTGTCACTCACATAAATAATCCAAGGCAGTTCTAGGTTGGCCTGGGGGTTTGGGGTGAAGCTGGAACATGAAGGTTAGGGGTGGAGTCAAGCAGGAACCGAGGCTGGGCTATCTTCAAGGTCCTGCTGGGGGTCATCTCCATCCCAGACAGCCAAGAAGAGCACAAGAACACAGAGAACTGTGTGAAGGAGGTTTTTCATGGGACAAGTCTGGGAGTACAGGTCACTTATATTCATATTCACCGGCTAGAAGTCAGTCGCACGGCCGCCTCTAACTTGAAGAGATGCTGAGAATTGTAATCAATCCAGGAAAAGAAGTAGGTTTGGTGAGAAGCTAATTAGTCTCTGCCACAGCGTTCTACACGGCAGCTCCCTCATAAAAGTTTCCCTTGTGCAGGCCATCTGGGCTGGGATTTTAAGCAACGTCCCTGTTATTGAAGATTCAACAGACTTCTTTAAATCTGGAGCAAGCTCAATGGATGTTGTCAGGTAAAACCACCACCTTACTGACTCATACCCCTCCACCAGGGATTTTGACTTTGACTCTGAAAATCAAATGGAAATCCTTTGTACTGGTTGTTATCACTCTATTGTACCCATCTACTGTATTTCTCTTTTCTTCATCTTTTTTGGTTTGTTTGTTTCCATGGTCAAATACATGTATTTGTTCCCTTCTCTTCGTTGCTAACCAGGAGTTATTTTCATATTTACTATACACCTAGAAAACAACCCTTCTAATTATTTGTTTCATTTAAAAATCTGTCTTCATATTTCTTAGTTGATTCTCCTCCAGTTAGAATTGGGAAGTTCTGAGTGAGAATGTTAAAAGGGATTTCTCTATATAGTCTCACCTAAAAGGATACCTTACACTGATTATGCTTACCCCTAATCTTTTTCTCCTATCTCCCTAAGTTACCCGATATGATATATCTAGAATGAGGATTGCCAGACTTCTTGCAAGAGTAAGGGTAATCACTCTACAGTCAGAATTTCTCTACAGAGGTTTCAAACAAGTAGAAAGGGCTAGAGGACTAGAAAGCCACCCTCTGTGGCATGAAGAGCAGACCAGGATCCTAACAGTGACGAGTCTTGCAGAGGTGCTTTTTCTTTGAGGGCCACACTATGGCCATTTACTAAATAAACAAGGTAAACTCCTCTTGACAGTCCTTCATGTCGGCAAAGCAAGTGTTCATGATGAACATTCTGTCTATTTATTTATTTATTCATTCATGTATTTAACACAATTTATTGAACATTTATGACATCAGGAACAGTTTTTTGCACTGGGGATACAGTCATGAACAAGACAAAGTCCCTTCATTCGTGGATCTTTTTTATTCCAATCATCAAAAACCATCCTCTCAAGAGCAAATATCATTACCAGAAGTTAAAAGTTTTGGTTCCTCAAGTTACAGATTTCTCAGCTATGGTTCATGAGTTCCCAGAACCTTCTCATTTGCTCAACTAAAGATTTCAACATTGTACTTTTAACACTAGTTTTTTGCTAACAAGATACGGCTGCAGGAGTTACCCACTTCCTGTTTGAGTGTCTGACTTACCATAATCATCTAATATTGTTAGCTTGGACTCTACCAAGGCACCTCATCTCTCTTAGGGAATACATGGCTGAGCAGCCCCTGTGGTGAGCTTTCTAGTACACCTCTGTCTGGTACACCTTTGCTACTCAAGAAATGTCAAGTTAGAGCTATGATTTGAAAACTTAACAGTGAAAAATCAAAGGGTTGAAAAGGACTTTACAAATTATATTAACCTTCCCGATGGTTCTGTTTCATACCTATCTTAGCCATGTAATACAAACAAATGTTTGTTTTATTGTTTCACAGGATCTAGAGAAAGTATTCTACGGTATGACTTTGGTTTCTTATAATCGTCACAGTTCAGAAGTTTTCCTTATTTCTTATTCCTTGAGTATTTTGAAAGGAAAGAAACTGATTTTATGTGCCCTTTATCATCTTGCTTGCAAGTAATTAAAATGTCTTTGCCTTGATTTCTGGTATTTCTAGTCATGTATAAAAAAAATTGCTGGGACTTCCCTGGTGGTCCAGTGGTTAAGACTCCGCACTTCCAATGCAGAGGGTGCAGGTTCGATCCCTGGTCGGGGAACTAAGATCCTACGTGCCATGCGATACAGCCAAAAATAAATAAAATGTTTAAAAAATAAATTAAAAGTTTAAAAATTGCCACTGTCCTTCAAGACAGCTTTAAAATTTTTTTCTCCCAATCTTATCAATTTCTCTGATTATTATCATAGAAGATCTCATGGGATATAAATAGGCATGTGATATACATCCTACTTCAAAGCACGTTAAATGTAATCACAGTCCCTCTAAACTCTTTTAAAAATGTAAGTAACATGAGCTGGTTCTTCCTTTCAGGCTGGTTGAAGAGATAAGACAGAAATGTGGAGGACTTCAGTTACAGAATGAGGATGTTTATATGGCCACCAAGTTTGAAGACTTCATCCAAAAAGTCGTGAGGAAACTGAGAGGAGAAGATCAAGAAGCGGAGCTAGTGGTGGATTATGTAAGCCTGCCCATGGTGTCGAAAACCTAAACCGTTAAGACCTTCGTACTATAAAAGAATGCTGTACCTTTCATCCATTTGTTTTTACATTTACAACCTTTTTAAAATGACAGTTTTATTGAGATTATAATTCAGATACCATACATTTCACCCTTTTAAAATGTATAATTCGGGCTTCACTGGTGGCACAGTGGTTGAGTGTCCGCCTGCCAATGCAGGGGACGCGGGTTCATGCCCTGGTCTGGGAGGATCCCACGTGCCGCAGAGCGGCTGGGCCCGTGAGCCATGGCCGCTGAGCCTGAGCATCCGGAGCCTGTGCTCCGCAACGGGAGAGGCCACAACAGTGAGAGGCCCATGTACCGCAAAATAAATAAATAAATAAAATAAAATAAAATGTATAATTCATTGTTTTTTAGTATTTCACCGAGTTGTACAACCATGACCACTATCTGGTTATGGAACATTTGTATCACCTCCTAAAAAGAAACCCTGTATCCCTTGGCAGTCATTCTCTGCTCTCCTCTCTAATTTACTTTCTGTTTCTATGGATTTGCCTATTCTAGACATTTCATATAAATGCAATTAGGTAATAAGTGGCCTTTTGCAGCTGGCTTCTTTCACTTAGCATAATGTGTTCAAGGTTCAACCATATTGTAGAGTAGATTATCACTTCATTCCTTTTTCCTGGCCAAGTAATAGTCCATTGTGTGGATAAACTACATTTTGTTTATCCTTTCCTCAGTTGATGTACATTTGGACTGTTTCTACTTTTGGGCTATTATAGATAATGCTGTTATGAAAATTCATGTATAAGTTTTTGTGTGAACATATGTTCTCAGTTCTCTTGGGTAAATATCTAGAAGTGGAATTGATGAGTCATATAGTAACTCCATGTTTAACTTTTTGAGGAACTGCCCATCTGCTTTCCAAAGTGACTACACCATTTTACAATGCCAGTAGCAATGTAGGAAGCTTCTAATTTCTTCATGTCCTCACCAACATATGCCATTGTCTGTCTTTTCTCTTTCAGCTGTTCTAGCAGGTGTGAAGTGACATCTTGTTCTGGTTTTGATTTACATTTCCCTAATGACTAATGATAAACATCTTTTCATGTGCTTATTGGCCACTTGTATGTCTTCTTTGGAGAAATACCTATTCAGATATTTCACCTGTTTTGGGTTTTTTTTTTTTTGTCATTGTTGTTGTTTCTTTTGTTTTGGCTTGGTTTGGTTTGGTTTTTTTGGCCTCACCAAGCAGCTTGTAAGATCTTAGTTCCCTGACCAGGGATGGAACCCAGGCCACTGGAAGTGAGGACGCCCAGTCCTAACCACTGGACCACCAGGGAATTCCCTCAAATCCTTCGCTTCGTTTTTAACTGGGATATTTGTCTTTTTAACTTTTGAGTTGTAGGAGACCTTAGTATATTTTGGATACTAGACCCTAATCAGATTTATTATTTGTAAATATTTTGTCCCTTTCTGTGGGTTTTCTTTTCACTTTTTTGATAGTGTCCTTTAACACACAAAAGTTTTAAAATTTGATTAAGTCCAATTAATCTGTTTGTTCTTTTGCCACTTGGGCTTCTATATGTCTTGTTTTATGCCTTTTTTGCTCCTCTACTCCTTTACTGCTCTCTTTTTTGTTAAATGGATATTGTCTAGCATGCCAGTTTAATCTCTTTTGCTATATATTTTTATTTCCTTAATGGTTGCCTTGAGGATTTCAAGAGACGTTTTTCTTAAAACATTCTAGCTCAGATTAATACCAACTTAATACCAATAGTGTAGAAAAAATTTCCTACAGTATAGCTCTGCTCCCTACCCCCTTATTTGTGCTATTACTGTCATACAAATACATCTTTATACATTATAAACCCACCAACATAGTTTTATAATTATTGCTTTATGCAGTTGTCTTTCAAATCAGATAGAAGAAGAAAAGGGTTTAAAAACAAAAATATATTTATACTGACTTATATTTACCTTTGTCAGTGTTCTTTATTTCTTCATGTAGATTTAAATTACTGTCTAGTGTCCTTCCATTTCTGCCAGGACACTTTTTAGTACTTTTTGAAAGGCAGTGTGCTAGCAATGTTCATGTGCTAGCAATGTTCATGTGCTAGCAATGTGCTAGTTTCATTCATTTGGGAATGACTTAATTTCTCCTTTGTTCTTGGAGGGTGTTTTTGCTGTATGTGGAATTTTCGGTTGACAGTCTCTTTCAGCACTATGAATATATCATCCTATTGCTTTCTGGCCTCCGTGGTTTCTGAGGATAAGTCATCTGTTAATTTTATTGAGGATCCCTTTTATGTGATGAGTTGCTCCTCCCTTGCGGCTTTCAAGATTCCCTCTTTGTCTTTGGCTCTTGACCATTTTTACATGATGTGTTTAAGATGGATCTCTGAGATTTTTCTACTTGGAGTTTATTGAGCTTCTCGGACGTGCAGACTAATGTTTTTCATCAAATTTGGGACATTTTCAGCCATTATTTCTTCAAATATTCTTTCTGCCCCTCTCCCCTTCTCCACTCATTCCTGGGACTCTCATTATGCACGTGTTGGTACATTTGATGGTGTTCTGCAGGCTTCTAAGGCTCTATTCATTTTCTAAAAATATTTATTTATTTTTAAAATTTATTTTGGCTGCGCTGGGTCTTCGTTGCAGCACGTGGGATCTTTAGTTGTGGCATGCAGACTCTTAGTTGTGGCATGCGAACTCTTAGTTGCAGCATGCATGTGGGATCTAGCTCCCCAACCAGGGACTGAACCCGGGCCCCCTCCATTGGCAGTGCAGCGTCTTACCCACTGGACCACCAGGGAAGTCCCTCTATTCATTTTTTAAATTCTTTTTCCTTCCTATTTTCAGACCGGATATCTCTATTGACCCATTGTCTGGCTTGCTAATTCTTTCTTCTGCCTGCTTGAATCTACTGTTGAACCTCTCCAATGACTTGTAAAATTTCAGTTATTGCACATTGCTTTTTTTATGGCTGAGTAGTATTCCATTGTTTATATGTATATGTATATATATATGCCACATCTTCTTTATCCATTCATCTGTTGATGGACATTTAGGTTGTTTCCATGTCTTGGCTATGTAAATAGTGCTGCTGTGAACATTGGGGTGCGTGTATCTTCTCAAATTTAGAGTTTTGTCTGGATATATGCCCAGGAGTGGGATTGCTGGATCATATGGCAACTCTATTTTTAGTTTTTTAAGGAACCTCCATACCGTTTTCCATAGTGGCTGCACCAATATAATTCCCACCAACAGTGTAGGAGGGTTCCCTTTTCTCCACACCCTCTCCAGCATCTGTTATTTGTAGACTGTTTAATGATGGCCCTTCTGACCCGTGTGAGGTGGTACCTGATTGTAGTTTTGATTTGTATTTCTCTAATACTTACTGATGATGAGCAGCAAGCTACCCTCTTGCTATTTTTTGTTTCTTTTCTAGGCATCATCAATTTCTCTATGTAAGATAATTTCTGAAATCATTAAATTTCCTTTTTAATGCCTTCATTGATGTGTGACCTTATGCCAATAATGCTCTTTCACGTGTATAATTTTAATTATGTCTCTTAATAACTGTATGAAGCAGGTGTATTATCCCCATTTTATTGTTGGAAAAACTGAGATTTATAGAGGTTAATGGACTAATCTAAATTCACTTGCCAGCTAATAGTAGAGAGTACAATTTAAGCAACACATATGTAAGAGAGGGAACGTGAAAATGGGGAAGAACACTGGAAAGAAAACTTAAAATGGCACCAGTGTAAAAGGAAACCTATTGACAGGCAATTTCAAAACTTTGAATGACAGTAGTTGGTGCACTCCCAGATGTTGCCACTAGATGGTGGTGTTTCCATTATCTTGAGGTCTTCTGAGTCATACTTCATCTCTATGAGGAAGAAAACAGATCTTTATAAAGCTCCCCCTAGAGTACTTCGGTCATCACAGAAGCTGACCTCCTGTCTCAATGGCCAATCTAAGCATCATGAGGCCTAAATATTACACATGCTTGTCTCTTCTGGACAGTAAGCACTAGAATCCCATTGACTTAACGCCTCCCTCTGCATTAGTGAATAAGCTTCTTTATTGCTCTTTGGTATCAAATGCATACGCACAGAAATCCAATGAATCTATTAATATAATTCTCTCTCTTAGGTTTCAAAGGAGGTCAATGAAATGACAGTAAAAATGCCATATCAGTGCTTCATAAATGGACAGTTCACAGATGCCGATGATGGACAGACTTATGACACCATCAACCCAACAGATGGATCTGTGAGTAATTTCTTAGCGTGTGTAGTGACCACTGATCATGGATTTTTTTCATTTATACACTGTTATAAAACAGTCTTAAAAAGTTACTTATTCTATTACTCTGACCCTGAGCACTTAATATAAATGTACTTCATGCATTTCTTTCAACTATTCATTTCTGGTACTGGCTGCTGTTAACTACAGTAACCAACTTTAAAGAATGAATATTTATGATGAATTTAGATGGATCACTATACCTATACACATCAGAAGCACAATTCCACATAAAGCTATATGTGTGAAAAAGAAAATCTCAGACTTTGCAAGCTCGTGGTGAGAAATTCAGCTTCCCCAAGGCAAGAGAAGAAATACAGTTTCCTAAATGTGTCTTCTCATAGTGTAGTGTGACATGCGAAGTACTAAATTTTAGGCTCATAATTTTCATGTTAAAAAATTGTTTCTTTTTCTTTACTATATTACTGGAAGTATTGATTTTCCATCATAAAAATTCTTTGAATTTTATAGTATAATAATTAATCCCAAGAAACATAATTGCATATCTCCATATATAGATAACCTAGAACCTATTTTTTCCTACCTTGAAATAGACGATATGCAAAGTATCCTATGCCTCTTTGGTGGATGTTGATAAAGCAGTGGCAGCAGCCAAAGGTGCTTTTGAAAATGGTGAATGGGGAAGAATGAATGCACGAGAAAGAGGAATATTGATGTACAGGTACGATTTTTAAGGACACAGCCTGTGGCCTTTGGATACTGACTAGATTGCCAAGATTTTAAAAATTTCTTCAAAACATTCTAGCATGCACCTGTTATATAGCACGTCTTTTGTCCCTTGCATCCTATAAAATCCCATATATATGAGTTCCTGATTTTTGTACTGTTGCTTGTTTCAGTCAGCATCCCTGTACCGGAAGAAGTTTAGTAAAGGACTATGTATTTGTAAAGATGTGAGCAAAGTCAAGGGAATCCGTCAAAGGATAATGAAGCACCCAGGCAGGGGTAGAACAGGGGGAAGGTGCCCTTACTCCAAGGCCTGAAGGGACAGAGGAAGGAGCTGTTACTAGAATCAGGTAAGATCTATAGCTGTAGGAGAAGACCACACTACAGCGGGTTTGGGTAGAGGGACGCAGCATCTGCTGGTCTACAGCCCATCGCTGAGGCAACCGGAGGATTCAAATCCCAGACCATTTTATCCTCCAGTTCGCCAGTCTCTTGGGGGCGCCTCCCACTGGCCCCTCATTAGCAATGCCCAGTGAGAGAGCACGGGAGCCCGTGATGTAGTCTACAAAGGTCATCCTCCAGGGATCACAGAGCAGGGTGGAGACGAGAGCACATGGAGAACATCCAGCACCCTGCTGTTTCCAAAGGGACATTTTAAGTCTACTTCATGTGTAGGGAGTAGAAGCAAGGAGGAAAAACACTAAGGCCTGGAAAGGGTATTATAAATCGGTAGCTGAGTATGCCAAGAGTAATCAGATTCGATCATAAATTCAGTTTTCTACTTACTAAAAGCCAAATAGCTGACTTTGTCCAAAGATTTCTTGGAACAGGATCTGAAAGAAACGTGAGGGAGGAGGATTTCAAGCCTGATTTTGGAATGGTCCAAAAGGAACATCTCAGAATCACTAAAGGAAGGAAGGAAAACAAATGGAAGAGGTGAACACAAAAGATGAACTTGGACTATGAACTTATCTTCCCAAAGAAACTAGACACCAAACAGAAACCTGTTGCAGTGTTTATCATTCATTCCATGTTTTTCTGTCTTTGTCCTTTTCAGCTAGTGTTGGAAATATTTCTGTCCCAACCAGAAAGCCTCAAGTGTTCCTGGGTTCTCTAAGAGTGTGGTTTGCCCCCTAACATCTCCCAGTATATTCATGAACTATCCACGTTCCCACTGTTTTCTGTCATTGATCTCCTTGGATTACTGTGGCTCAATCACTCTTTTACTGCTTATACATCTATGGTGCAAATGATACAGACTTCCAACACCCTCTGCTTCTTCATTATAACTCTTAAAACAAATTATTAATGACATTTTTTGTTGAATGTCTCTCTTCCCTACTAGACCATGTTCTCCATGAGGACAGAGACCTGGTTCATTTGTGTTCACCTCTAAGTTCTCAGCCCTTAGGATGATGCATTAAATGCAGTAGAGACTCAATATTTGTTGAATGAATTTCTTTATGCATACAGACTAGCAGACCTACTGGAAGAGAACCAAGAAGAGCTGGCGACCATCGAAGCCCTCGATTCAGGGGCTGTCTACACCTTGGCTCTGAAGACTCACATTGGAATGTCTGTGCAAACATTCAGGTATTTTGCTGGCTGGTGTGACAAAATTCAAGTAAGTGCAAATGTTTTTTGTCTCCATGTAGATCATTCCAAGAGGAAAAGGGACGAATGTTTATTAGTCTGTAAAGACACTTTGTCAGAGCCACCCCTTATGTAGGTTTTCTCATCTTATCCTTATAACAATCATCTGAGGGAGGTGGATATCTATTAACTCTTATTACAGGTGAGGAAATTGAGGCTTGAGGACAATGAATGACTTACCTATGGTCACATAGTAAGTAAACCATAGAGCTAGGATTTGAACTCAAGATTTTCTGAACCTAAAATCTAATGCTCTTGAGAGCATCTAACAGTCTTGTTGGCATATAGAGAGAAGCCTGGTATCATGGAGGAATTGAAAACTCAAATACCTATAGAGGTCAGAGAGCTAACATAGATGGGCTATGCAGACTGGTTATAAGAACAAGATTTTAAAGACATGAGTTCAATAAAAATTTCCATTTCCTTTTTTCTACAAGAAAATAAATATTATATGTGTGATGATAAATGGCAACTATACATGGCTTTGGTATTGGGATACAGAAGGGAAATAGGGCTTGCAGCAAACAAAAGAATGCATGCCACTCATAGACTCATGGTAACCATTGAAGCACCAGCCATCACAGCCACATTCCCAGCAGCAAGGAGGAAGTGGCGAAGAGGGAGAAAGGTAAAGGACTTTAAAAAGCATTCCGATCCTCCTACACCTTGTGCTTACATCTCCCACTGGCTGTCTCTGCTAAGGAGACTGGGAAACATAATACTTTATCTGGGCACATTGCCGCCAGCACCATTAATATAGAGTCAGAGAGAACTGGTTCCAAGCCTCAGCTTTGACACTTACCAGCTATTGTTGTTAAAGTTATTTACCTCTCTGTGCCTTACTTTCCTCGTCTGTAAAATGGTCACAATAATCCATACCTTGCAAGTTATGTTATGAGGATTAGAAACAAGTGTTTATATACTACAGGATTAAAGTCTGCACCATAGTAGGTCTTGCACATAAATGTCGTTTTTATTATTGTTCAGCCACAAAATCATACATATATCAGTATTTAGTAAGAGCAGTTCAAGTCCATCCTTCATCCTCAATTATGAAATCCAAATTGCTGTGAAACCTGAAAATTGATTTGTTTGATTGGTTCAGACTCATTTGGCGCCAAAACCTGACCTGAACCAAGATGAGTCTATAATCTCTATTCGTATCACTTAGCGTGACTATTCATATATTTCACTGAATAAATATTAATATGCTTGATTATGGGGGGCTTCCCCAGACCTTATTGGAGGTTATAGATATAATAACATTGTATAAGGTATATACATTATATTATGCTTCTAAAGTCAAAAAATTCTGAATCGCAAAACACACCTGGCCCCAAGGGTTTCAGATAAGAGACTGTACACTTACTTGTATTAGTAACAGCAATAATATTTTATGTGGCAAAACAGATGTATAGCTTCAGTTAAAAGACTACTGTCATGAATCAGTTGGGATCAAATTTGGCTGCGTATAATAGAAAACCCAACTAAGAAGTTTGTTTTTATCTCACTTTCAAGAGTCCAAAGGCAGGCACTCAAGTCCAGTGTGTGAGATAAAGGTTCCTGCTCTTTCTTTGCCAGGGCGTCCTTATACCATGCGATCTCTACCCTCATGGCTGCTTCTTGGTCTCATGATAACCACTGCAGTGCCAGCCTTTTTAGCAACGTTCTGAGAAGGAAGAAGGAAAGAGTGAGAGTGAGGGGGAGAGTAAAAGAGCATTTTCCAAGCTGAGTCAGCCTACTTTAAAGAGTGTTCCCCTTTCAGTGCTTTGTGCTTACGCCTTCCATTGGCCATCGCTATCTGCTGTGGAAACTGGGGAACGTAGTAGTTTATCTGGGCACGTTGCCATTCCCATTATTAATATAGGGTTTCTGTTACTAAGAACCGAGGGGAGAATGGATATTGCTCAGGCAGTTAACATTCTCTGCCATGCCAAGAAATTGGGAATGGAGGCGATTAAATTAGAACTATGTTTTTTTTCTCCTGTGTCTCAGTTCTTTTGAGAAAGACGTAGCAGTTCCTTTTTAGGTGTAGATGTATTTCTCATCAATTGAGCACTGCTTTTTTAATATCAGCTAAGAAAAAGCAAGAGAGGCAGACAGAAAATGGATTCGTTAAGTTTACCCACTGAAATTAGTAAAATAGTATCAACCTTTTTCATTCTTTAGGGTTCTACAATTCCCATCAACCAGGCCCGTCCAAATCGCAATCTGACCTTCACCAGGAAGGAGCCACTTGGGTAAGACAAGGAGAGCGCTTCTGAGTGACTTGTGTTAGTTCGAGAGGACTGAGGATGTCTCTTTCTTCCCCGGCAGTGTCTGTGCTATTATCATCCCCTGGAACTACCCGCTGATGATGCTGGCGTGGAAGAGCGCCGCGTGCTTGGCAGCAGGCAACACCTTAGTGCTCAAGCCAGCGCAGGTAAGACGTGCAGGGCAAGGTACAGCATCTCCTCCCCTCCTGTTTACTTAAAACCAGAGACGTACATTTACAAATATTATGTCTTTAAGCAAAAATGGGATCATATATCACAACATCATTTCATATATCATGGGCATCTTTTCATATTAGTAAATATTCATTTTTAATAGCTACCCAGTGTATCCTATGGGGATTCCAAAATTTAGAACTTCCATGACAGTGGAAGCAGGCATAGTGTATGTCAGTGAAATCCATTAAATTTCTACAAACCAATTCAATTCTTGCAAAATGCCACATGCCCAGTAGTGATTTAGAGTAGCTACGACATATCAAAAGAAAAAGTTTTTTGCAGGCCTTCAAATTTTCATTATCAAAAATATTGTAAAGTTATGCAAGATGAGGGACAAGCATGCAAAAGAATGTATATAATTGTGGCAGCTGTGTGGAAATATATACATGTGGAAAATGAGGAAATAATTTAAAAAATAATTCAGATGATAGAGTTCTCAAAAACATCTTTTTAATGCTACAGTAGCTTTTCAAGAAAAAAATATGGTAGCCAACTTAACACCTGGCTGAGCATTCACTCTGGACAGTGCACAGTGGTAGACATCGTGAGGTACCCAAGTTGTGGAGAAAACTTGGTCTCTGTTCAAGAAGAGTTTACAGTTTGCTACTTATTAACTATTCTTTTATTTCTTCTTTTAGGATTAAAAAAAAATACAATTTCGTTTGTCATAACTACATAGTCATGTGACCACAGCCATCTTGTTTTCCTCATTAGAAACAATTTCAGTAAAAAAAACAGGTATACATTCAAAAATTTTTTTAATTCAAAAGATACCAAGAGGTAGGTAGTGAAAAGTCTCCATCTTATTCCCCCAGCCCACCAATTTACCTCCCAGAGGCCACCAATGTTATTGTTATTTATTAGTTTCTTAGGTATTCCAGAAATATTCTCTGCGTATACAAACATATTTTTTTAATTAAATAAATAAATAATTTAAAAAAAATTTTTAACCAATTAAAAATCACACAGGAGGAGAAGGGGAAAGGGGAAATTGCTAATCAACAGGCATAAAGTTTCAATTATGCAAGATGAGTAAGTTCTAGAAATCTGCTACACATCGTTTTGCCTGTAGTTAACTATACTGTATTATACACTTAACAATTTAAGAGGGTAGATGTCATGTTAAGTGTTCTAACCATAATACAATACAAAATTAAAATAAAATAAAATAACATTCTATACATACTACCAAAGGGGGAAAAATAACTTTTTTAAAAAAATATTTATTGAGCACTTAGTATGTGCCACATGCTGTGTTAAGCACTTTTTCTTTAATTTTTAAAAATTTTAAAATATGTATGTATGTATTTATTTAATTTATGCCATGCCAGGTCTTAGTTGCGGCATGCGGGATCTTTTAGTTGCGGCATGCGGACTCTTAGTTGCTGCATGCGTGCAGGATCTAGTTCCCCAAATACAGATCGAACCCGGGCCCCCTGCATTGGGAGCTCGGAGTCTAACCCTCTGGACCACCAGGGAAGTCCCCAAAACTTCTTTTTTTAAAACAGTTTCCAGTGTGTAGATAAACAATATTTTATTTAACCAATACCTAATTAATAGATATTGAGATTTTCCCATCTTTTTGCTGTTATAAACTATGTTGCAGTTAATAACCTTTTAAATGTGGCATCATGCACATGTGCAATTATCTTTATAGGGTGGTATGTTCCTAATAGCAGAATCACTTAGTTAAAAGATACATGTGTTTGTGTGATAGCTGCTGGCTCATCCTTCCACGGGAATGGAACAGTTCACCAGCATCCTGTATGAGTGCTGTTTCTCCCAAGCAGCAACACTCATTAAACAGCAAGAAGCTAGTAAAGTGAAGAGAGAAGGCAGATAACCTAGCCCAGTGGTGCTCAATCCTGGCTGCACATTAGAATCATCTGGAGTTCTCTTTTAAAAATACTGATATCTGGGCCCCATTGGCAGAGATTCTCATTTAATTGGTCTGGGTCAGAGGCCAGGCATCGGTATTACTTAAAATCTTCACATTAGTTTCTAAGGTACAGTCAGGGTTGAGAACCACTATATGGCATCCAAAGAGAGTGCTAAGCATTGGAAAACCCTAGTGATTACATAGAATGTTCAAAATTTACAAACATGTACTGAGTGCCCACTGTTTGCCAGGCATATTATCATTGACAAAGACATAAAATTTCTGTTCCTGTGGAAATTACAGTCTAACTCTATCTGCAATTTAAAACTGATAGTTTAATGATTGATGATAATTTTAATCCTGAGAATGAAAGACCCAAAGTTGCCGTTGTTATGTGGGAGATATCTTTTTATTATGATATGAAACCATTGATAGTATTAAGGCCCTGTGCAAATGGCAGGAGGGCTGAATCACTTGGCTTTCCTCCCTTTACCAGTAAGAAGTACAGATTCCCATGGTCTGAACTGGTCCAGGTCTGTCAGGCTCTAACACCTTTTTTAATCTAATATTTAATAATGACCTACTCGTGCCCAGAACACTGCTAAATGCTTTCGCATATATCATTTAAACCTATAATCCTGCCATAATATAAACCTATATTCCAGTTGGTTAGCCGAATGGAAGAAAATCAATAAAATGAAAAGGGATGAGATAAAGATGAAACAGTTTGTTTTATTTTATTTATTAATGGCATAAAATCTTTTTATTCTTACTTTAAAAATCTTATCACTAATTTAGGATAGTTTTTTAAAAAGTCTTTCTAATCATGATGACTTCATACTAAGGCATAATAATATACACTTTGGTCTAGGATTGTCTTTAACTATAGTAGGTATAAATCCACTATTTGAAATATCTTCTTGACAATTTCAAATATTTGGGCATTTGAAATTTCTTGTCAAGTCTAACTAGATTGCCATTTTTTTTTAAACCTCACAATGTTATTGTCATGGACCTGTTACTAGAAGGAGGAAAAATGTTAACCCTGCTTTTTTCTTGTTGTTACTTGTATTTGCTCTATTAGTATTATTTATTATGCAGTTTCTATGTAGATTCTTTTTAAGTCACTTGATCATTTTATGAAGTTTGCATTACTTAAAACAACAACATAGTCTATGAACCCATGCAACCTGGCCTGTAAACGTCAACACACGGAAATATTCTGAAAGCACAGGAGCAAGTGAGGAAACCACTGTTTTTCCCTTGGCCTTGTGAGCTCCTATTCTTTCCTAGGATACCACACGTACCTCTGTGACCAGTGACCATCTGACTTTCATTCAGACAGAGTGAGAGTACCATTATCCAGCCACATAATAAATGTTAGTTATGTTTGATTTATTTCACATCTTCTTCCGTTAAAATATACAAAATAAAATAGCTCTACTATTTTCTATTCACAGCTCAATTTTTGCCCATTCCATTTTTTGAGACCAAGCTAACCGAGTACTAATTTAAGACTTGATCAGCATTGCTTTTTAAGGGTGTAAAAATATGACTTTCATCTTGCTTCTGAGATATGCATTGCTGTAATAGATCTTTAAAATGAGATCCATAACTATACCAATTTTTTTGTAAAAAGAAAGGGAAAATAAGTATGTTTTCATTTGAGCAAAAAGAAACATACGAGGGATAAACCGGAGACTAATTAGGTTGATTAACTACAAGACTTGGGCAGGATGTGGTGGAAAGGACTGGGGGTGGGAGGTGGTTGGCCGGGAGAACGACACTTCTCTGAATGTGCTTTTGTATAGTCCTCACTTTGGGAAGCATGTTTCCCATACTCAACAAGACAGCAAATGAACAAAAAAAGAAAAGAAACACAATCAACGTAGATGAGGCCAAAATCGAATACAAAAAAAACTCAGTCAAGCCAAATTTCAAATGAACAACATCACCACACCGAAGGGAGTGAGGAAGCACTCACCCAAGTAACTTGTGAATGACACTTGCACTCCATGTCCTCAGACTAGAGGCAAAAACACTGAAAATAAGTATTGAAGTTAGTAGGCTTCTTTTTCACAGGGACATGGCTTAATAATTCTCAAATTACTTTCTGTACATTTTAGGATTAAGCAAACAAGTAAATATATTGTGGATATTGGGAGCTATGCTTTTCACTGTTGAAGAGAGTTACAGATATGAACAGAAAGAAGGATAGAATGAGCCCTCAACCCACTGCTGAGAGGTCTTTATGGAAATTTCATTTCATAGGTACGACAGATTAAATCATTGGCTGTCGGTGATTGAACTCAAACTTCAGTCCCTCTCCCCTGGTTTGGGGCTGAAATTTCCAACTCTCTAACCATGGCCTGATCTTTCTGGCTACAAAAACCCATCCTGAAGCTACCTAAGGGGCTCCCAGCTACCAGCCACTTCATTAACATATGGAAGGCATTTTTCATTTGAGATTCCAAGGTTTTAGGAACTCTGGGCCAGGACCCAGAGACAAAGACCAAATATATATTTCCCATTATATCACAGTTTTAAAATACTATTCTGCACTAAAAGAAACCTGGGCCTCTTGAAAAAATGGTTGGAACAGGGAAAATACAAGCTGTGCCTGGAACATCTTGTTGGGCCAAAAAGCAAGGAAATGCTCAAAGAATGATCGGGACATGTCAGAAAGGCAGAGGATCCACACAGGATTCATCAGCCAAAGCTGGAACAATTTGAACCTCAAAAAAGTAACAGTAGTAAAAGATTATAACCATTTGAATAAAGTAAGAATCCATGAGTTCACACTGACGTTAATTGATTAAACAGAAAGGAAAGCTCTTATAGTGGAAAGCCAACTAATGAATATATGTAGAAGGAATGATGGAATTAGAAAATCACCACTTAGCAACCATCATAATAATGATTGATTCAGGCAGGAATCATCAGTGGATACTAAAACTAGTGGAAATTTGAGGAGTAACTGAATATTTAAATAGCCTCAAAGTAGCTCCCTAAAAAATATTTATTAACTACAAAGAGTAAAGTCTCAAAGTAGCTCCCTTTCTTTTTACAGTAACTTACAGTGATAAAACCTGGCAGGTCACCTTTACCAAAGGATCAAAGTTAACCTTTCCAACATTGGGACTATTCAACAGCATGTTCCTCTTGATATGATGCACTGAGGAGAATTCAGCATCACTCCTGTGGTGTTCTTGCCAAAAGTGCATAACCTGAATCTAATCACATGGAAACAGCAAATCCAGACAAAAGGACATTGTACAAAATAACTGGTCTGTTTTTATCGAAAACGTCAGTGTAATGAAATATAAAAGAAAACTCAGAACCTCTTTCAGAGGAAGGGAAACTATAGACGTGGTAACTAAATGCAATGCATGATCTTGGATTTTCTTTTTCTATAAAGCACATTATTGGGACCATTGGTGAAAACTGAAAAAGGAGTGTAAATTAGGTATTCTAGCGGTTGTTCATTTCCTGATTTTGGTGATTGTATTGTGGTTATGTAAAAGAATCCTTTGTTTTTAAGAAACGTACACAAAAGTATTTAGAAGTAAAGGGACACATCAAATTTTACTTCTTTAAACAGTTCAAAAACATTGGGAGAGAGAAAGAGGATAAAGCAAACGTAGTAAAATGTTAACATTTGAGTAATCTGGGTGATGGATACATAGGGATTGTTTGTACTATTTTTTGCAACTTTGCTGTAAGTCAGAAATTAAGTCACAATAAAAGAAAAAATAAAATGAACTCTGGTACGGCCATAGCAGGAAAGCTGGGTGCTGATCTAAAGGACAGGACAGAATCTGAAGTAAGTAATTGCTGTCTGCTTCTGCTCAGGTCACGCCCTTGACTGCTTTGAAGTTTGCAGAGCTCTCTGTTAAAGCAGGCTTTCCAAAGGGGGTGATCAACATCATTCCAGGCTCAGGTAAGCCAACAAGGACCCACTTTGCTGTAACTAATGAATGGTTCAAGGGTAGCTGAGTTTTTCCACTGGTGTTTTGTCCTGACTTATAACTATATTAAAACTAAATACAGTTTACCGAACAGTTAAGAATAAACACACTTACCATGTGCTGAAATCTGAAAGTGGAAATACAGTGGCAGATGAGTGGGGTGGGAGGGGTGGAAATTGTACAACATTGTAAAACCACACCCTACGGTGGCCCATTTCAACGTTTAAAAATGGCTTTGGAAGATTAAAAAATCAAGGCATACCCATCTTTGGGGTACTGACAGTTGCATGGAGGATATTATTCAGATTTTTGTCACTTTGTTATTAGTATAGAAAATGTAAAACTGAGATTTAAATGAGAGCTTAGAAATCTACTTCAATGAATTCAAAGCCACCTTTACCATAAGAACTCGATAATGTTTTAATCTTTGTTTTATTCCGTAATTCCACAGGTGGCATAGCAGGACAGCGCCTTTCTGAACATCCTGATATCCGGAAACTCGGTTTCACTGGTTCCACTCTGATTGGCAAACAGATCATGAAGAGGTATTGGTTTTAGTATGTTGATTTGCTAAAAATCCTGTAAAACCAGGTCTTTGGCTTTGTTTTTGCTTTAAATAAGGTGCTTTTGGAGGGAGAAAAATAACATCGAATTTAGAAGAGAAATCTTACCACAGGGTATTGAAATGTTTGAATACAATAAAATACTTTCCAAAGTGTAAAGCCCAGAGTCACCAAAACCAGAGTTGTACTGAAAGTTCTGATAGCTTTAACAATCATTAAGCACAAAACATTTTCAGTACTAAAGCTGTAGCCCAAATTGGTTTTGGAGCATAAGTAAGAAATTGAAAAGACATATAAAAGACAAATCAAATCTGGATTATTTATAAAATTAATTCCTAAAAAGCGGTAACATTGGTTCAAAAAAATGCAAGCCATCTAAATGTCCAAAATATGGCAGCGGTTAAAGTTTGTTAACATAATGGAATACTGTGCAGTCACATAGAATTTTTAATAACACTGGAGTGTTAAACGGTAAATAGAAAGAAAAATAAGGTATAAAATTGTATATATTGGGTAATCCTAACTATGTTAAATAAGACAAAGGCTGTGCTTGGGTACAGACCAGAAACAAGTATATCAAAATTGTAAAAAAAAAAGTTGCCTTTGAGCCATGGAGTGGAATTCTGTGATTTTTTTCCTTCTTTCTGAATTTTTAAGAGTATTTTTAAAACACTTCAAATAACAATACTTTTGCAAACAGGGAGAAATAAACAGTATACTTCTAAAAATTGATTTTTTTCCCCCGATGTGCCAGTAATCTGGTTAAAGGTTAAGTTCTTTGCCAGGCCTTTATGTAACCAAAATTCTTACACCTAAAGAATCTGAATTTACATATGATAATCTCTAATCATTTGACCACAGAATTTAAAAAGAAACCCGTTTCTATTACAAAAGATCTCTAATATTCACAAAGCTTACAGAATAGTGTAATGAACTCCTGCGTGCTCATCACCCAGCTTCAACTGTTATCACCATTCTACCATTCATGTTTTGTCTTTGAATAAGTTTCTTAATATTTCTGAGGCTCAGTTATATTTCCCATGCTAAGTAGTAATTTATGGTTGAAGAAACAGAGAGAGAAACTGATAGACAAACTAAATGCTCATATTCCCTTTATTTTTCTCTAGCTGTGCTATGAGCAACTTGAAGAAAGTTTCCCTTGAACTTGGTGGCAAATCCCCACTTATAATATTCAGTGACTGTGAACTTGACAAGGCCGTACGAATGGTAAGAGTAGGTCAAGTCCACCTAACTAGGTGCCCACTTCGGAAACACATTCTACCTCCTTCTCATCAGGAACCTTAGAATGACGCTTGGTTGGGGGGTTTTTTTTGTTTGTTTGTTTTTACTTAATTAGTTAATTGATTTTATTTTTGGCTGCGATGAGTCTTCGTTGCTGCACATGGGCTTTCTCTAGTTGCGGTGAGCGCTACTTTCGTTGTGGTGTGCGGGCTTCTCATTGTGGTGGCTTCTCTTGTTGCAGAGCACAGGCTCTAGGTGTGTGGGCTTCAGTAGCTGTGGTGTGCGGGCTCAGCAGTTGTGGCTCGCAGGCTCTATAGCACAGGCTCAGTAGTTGTGGTGCACGGGCCTAGTTGCTCCACGGCATGTGGGATCTTCCCGGACCAGGGCTCGAACCCATGTCCCCAGCATTGGCAGGCAGATTCTCAACCACTGCGCCACCAGGGAAGCCCAACGCTTGGTTCTATCTAATCATAAACAGAAACCATTCTCTTTTAGATTTGGGACTGCTCAGGGCACTTAATTTAAAAAAATAATGTCATAATTAAACGTGTTTTTGAAACTTGGAGGCCAGGTTTTTAAAACTGATGTAGAGATTTATAAACATTCATGATTTATTTAAACTGATGTAGAGATTTTTAAAAGCAAAATTTGGTATAGAAATATTACATTTAAATGTATAGAATAATCTAAATTTTCTTATAACACAAAATCTGTTTTTATCACTATGTCCTTCATGTTATGTACATTTTTTTTTAAGTACTCATGGACCAAAAGGGGGAAAGGAGAAGCAAAATTCCTAAAAATATCAAAACCAAGAACCTCCAAGCAACACTACGTTGGCCAAGGGCTTGTGTTTTTCTCTGTCTTCTCTGTGTTGTCTGCTGTCTTCCAATAACATCTAATTCTCAGTGTGTGCAATTTTATGACAATCTTGACTTCCCAAGCAATAACAGTATTTTCTGTTTTGCTGCTAAAGGGCATGGGAGCAGTATTTTTCAACAAAGGAGAGAACTGTATTGCAGCTGGTCGGTTGTTTGTGGAAGAATCCATCCATGATGAATTTGTGACAAGAGTGGTAAGCATCTTCAAATTTGCTCTGTGGTTTGTATAGAAATTGCCTTTACTTTAAAAGTACTTCTGGGATTATTAATGATAGTTTTGATAGTGCTATGGTTATATTTTTTTAAAAGAACACAATCCTTATCTTTTAGAAGTAGTTTCTGACATATTTACAGATTAGATTATGATATCTGGACTTTGCTTCAAAATAATCCAAAAAGGAAGGAAGGAAGTGGGGGAATAAATTGGTCATGAGTTGGCAGTTGTGGAAGCTGACTGATGGGTACGTGGAGTTTCATTATATTATTTACCTACTTTTATATGTTTATAATTTTTCTTTTTAAAAAAATTTTATTTATTTATTTTTGGCTGCATTGGGTCTTTGTTGCTGCTCGTGGGCTTTCTGTAGTTGCAGTGAGCAGGGGCTACTCTTTGTTGTGGTGCGCAGGCTTCACACTGTGGTGGCTTCTCTTGTTGCGGAGCACAGGCTCTAGGTGCGCAGGCTTCAGTAGTTGTGGCACATGGGCTCAGTAGTTGTGGCTTACAGGCTCTAGAGCGAAGGCTCAGCAGTTGTGGTGCATGGGCTCAGTTGCTCCGCAGCATGGGGGATCTTCCTGGACCAGGGCTCGAACCCGTGTCCCCTGCATTGGCAGGTGGATTCTTAACCACTGAGCCACCAGGGAAGTCCCTATAATTTTTCATAGTAAAAAGTTATAGGTCTATATTAGAAAATTTGATAAGGTATACTTAAGAGCTATTACTACCTATACCTTGCTCTGCATTTATAGTATATTAGATCCTTGATATTTGTAGAAGATACACTCCTAGATTATTATAAATCCCTAAATTGGCTATGAGAGATATACCACTAGATTCTTACAAATCCTGAATTTACAGTTAAATGATAGTATATAATTTCCTCCACTAAGATAGATAGATAGATAGATAGATAGATACATACATACATACATACTCCCTGTAGTTGGGCATGATTCCATAAATATGAGACTAAACGTCATTCATAGAACTATTAAGATGAATTCTGTGGCTAAAATGAACTCTAAACATACTACACAGGGACTTCCACAGTGGCTCAGTGGTTAAGAATCTGCCTACCAATGCAGGGGACACGGGTTTGAGCCCTTGTCCAGGAAGATCCCACATGCCGGGGAACAGCTAAACCCGTGCACCACAACTACTGAGCCTGCGCTCTAGAGCCTGTGAGCCACAACTGCTGAGCCCGCGTGCCACAACTACTGAAGCCTGCGCACCTAGAGCCTGTGCTCCGCAACAGGAGAAGCCACTGCAATGAGAAGCCCGCACACCGCAGCCAAGAGTAGCACCCGCTCGCCGCAACTAGAGAAAGCCCGTGCACAGCAACGAAGACCCAACGCAGCCAAAAATAAAATTAATTAATTAAAAAAAAACATACTACACTCTATCATTATTATGGTAATAGTAATCACGAATTTGTTTCTATTTAAAAAACCAGCACCCAGCCTTTTTTCCTTCAGATCCAATTCCCCCATCCCACCCCGCAAGAAGCAAAGGCATCTTTCCTCATGAGAGCGGAAAACAAGGAAGTCATATGGAGAGGCAGATGGAGGGCAGTGGCTGCCTCATGAACATCCCCATAATTCAGTTTTGTGCCTTAGTAAAATGCAAGGTACAGCACTACACGTCATGGGCTTTCACAACAACTTGTTGACATTTAAAATGCTGAGACCAGAAATGTCAAGGATTTGCTGTATCAGTCCATCAACAAACATGTTTTGCACACATATGAACAGTATTCATTTGTTCATTCAGCAGGTATTTCTTGAGCACTTACTGAGGGATTATTGCCAGACCTAAACTCAAATTCATGGCCCTGTGGGGTCATGGTAACTCCCTTTCTTTCTCCTTAGTAGAATTGGACTTAACATCAGGAAACGGAGAAATCGATTAAGATAACCAAGGAGCACATATCAGTGATGAACGTTCTTCGATAAAGATGGTTTTTCATTGGAACATTCTAGTATATCCTCTGGTGTGGCTGTACTGTGAGAATTTCACAAGGGCAGTCTGCCACATTTGGGGAAAGGAAAAAGACAACAATGTGGCCATTTTAGAAATTAGTTTGCCACGAAGAGTGTAGGTATGCTGTATTAACAAAAATTCCAGAACATCAGGTTTGCTATTTTAATGAATTAACATTCGGGATAATTTTAAAACTCAGTGGTTACAAGCTTGGACTTTCAAGGCAAGAAAACTCTACAGTATTTAGTGGCTGTGTGCCCTTGGGCGAGTCACTTAGCCTTTCTGATCCTCGGTTTCCTCATATAAGATGGAAATAATAAATATCTACCTCCAGTGCTACTGAAGACTAAATGAAGACACATCTTTGAACAGCCAGTACAACACCTATCACACAGCAGAAACTCGGTCAAGGGTATCCATTCTTATTATTAACAGTCAATTGTGTTTTGTGAACTGGGTGACATACAGGTGGAAGAAATTAAAAAGATGAAAATTGGTGATCCACTTGACAGATCTACTGATCATGGACCCCAAAATCATAAGGCCCATCTGGAAAAGCTCCTGCAGTACTGTGAAGCCGGAGTGAAAGAGGGGGCCACCTTGGTGTACGGAGGAAGACAAGTCCAAAGGCCAGGTAAGACCGCCTCCATAGGAGGTGTGCTGGGGGCCTGGCTTCTTAAGTTGGAATAAATGGTAACAGTTTCCGTTGCAGCACCATCTTGCCTCAAAAGTAGTGTCATTTACGTTATGATAAGAAGAATTACTTTCTAGATCCTGCTTGGCCACTTATAATCTGTGACACCTTCAACAACAGTTCTTCTGAGCCTCAGTTGTAAAATGTGATGAAATGTGCATATCCTGCTTTACGAGGCCGTTAAAATCAAATAAAATGGATGTGACAGGCCCTTAGCAGCGTAAGTAAACAAGTGTAATGGATACGGTGTTATTCAGGCACTGGTGATTTTCATTCCTGGCAATGTGAGATTTAATCTTAGCCAGATTAGCCTGGGAAGGATTCATTCCTGTTGTCTAAGGTAGTACTTGTTACAGAAGTATGTGAATGGCTCAATGTCATGATACCCAAAAGGAGAGAAAAACAAACAAACAACAACTGGAAAACCTCATGTTTTACTGTTGTAGGTAGATTGAGCACCAGCAGGACAGCTGGTTATGATGTGCCCCCTGTGGGATCCAGTGTGTAACACAGCATCGTCTATGAAGTATTCTTGCCAAAAATGTTTAACCATGAATCTAATCATGCCTTTAGGTCATATTTTCCATTTACAAGAAATACAGGGGTTAGAGGAACAAATTAAATATCATCCCAAGGAAGCAATGACATATCTGAAATGCATAAAATATTCTGCAGGACAACTGAACCAGTCTGTTTAACAAGTCAATGGCATGAAAAATAAGGGGTAGGGTAAAGGGGAGAAATATTCTAGAGTTAATGGACCCTTAAGCTATCTAACAACCGAATGCAGTGTGAAACTTATTTGAATTCTGAATCAAACAAGTCAACTATAAAAAGATATTTTCCAGAAATCAGAAATTGAATACAAGTATCGAATCATTATGGTGTACACCTGAAACTAATATGTTATATGTCATTGCATCTCAATTAAAAAATTGGAACTTAAAAAAAGGAATTGAAATATAAACTATGAATAAGGAATTGGCGTTAATTTTGTTAGGTGTGATAATGTATTGTGGTGTGTAATAAAATGTCCTTGTTTTTTACAGGTTTGTACCGAAATACTTGTGGAGTATAAATTGTAATCTCTGGAATTTGCTTTAAACTATTTCAGCAAGAAAAAAAAGAATCAAATATGGCAAAATATGCATAAAGATTTATTTTACTATTCATTATACTATTTTCTCTACTTTTACATATGTTTGAAAGTTTTATAATAAGGACATTAAAAATATAATAACCTAGGAATGCTAACACGAAATAGGAAAATGAAAGTCTTCTTGGTTTTACTGACCCATAATGGAAGAAAAATATTTATAATGTAATTAAACGAGAGAACCACTAATTGAAAATTACCCTTTAATTGATGTTATTTTCTTCTGTTTTTCAAATAGGCTTTTTTATGGAACCTACTGTCTTCACAGATGTGGAAGACCACATGTATCTTGCCAAAGAGGAATCCTTCGGGCCTATTATGGTCATTTCTAAATTCCAAAATGGGTATGTTCCTCAGGCATAATTTGACCAGATTGCCTAGATACTTCTCTTTTTTCTGTCATTGTGCTATGTACAGAGCATAAAATCAATGAACATATAATTTTCTACCATAAGAATAATTGTCTTAATAATTAGAAGAGAATGCTAACCAATGTAGATTGTAATACATTTTTGCTCCTTAGCTTAAATTAATGGCTGACATTATGGGATGTTCGCTAAGTTTTAGTTTCTGTACAGTCAGCATTTGAAATGTCTCTGGAATAAGGTCAGTAACTGAGAATAACAGAACTGGTTTTCGCATTTACATTTCTAGGGAAGGCAGCATCTATGAAATCTGATTTTCCCAAAGAAAGTTTTCTCCATAGGGGATCATGCCCCCAAAAGCCTAATACTCAACTCCTTGTAGAAATGTCCACAATCACCATATAATCAACCGTGAATGACATACTGGTTTGTTATGGTGCCTGAAACTTTGATATGCTCAGTGTTTAGCATATCAAAGAGGGCCGTATGGTAACTGAGCTCATATCAGAATATTTAACACAATAGACTCTCATGGTATACTGCACACAATTCTTCAGAATTCTGGCTTTAGTTTTGCTTTAACCAATGAGAAAACAGAATACAGAGTTCAGAAGGACTTCTTGGTCTTGAACAGACATACTGTGAGAGACCTTTGGGGACACTAAGCTGTAGTGAGTAACCTTTTGACATACTGATCCAAGGATGCCCTGTTACCCTCTTTTCCTTATTATAAGTTCCCCCATAGGATGGTCCTTGTGTTAAATATGCAGATATCAGAAGCCAGTTTTGGGGGATGTAAGCCTAGATAAGTTACAGTTCCTGTCCTCAAGGAGGTCACCATCTAATAGGGGAGACAGACAAGGAGACGGGCGATTAACCCCAGAGGGCCTAGGTGGGAAGTGTAGTAGGTAGAGTCTGCACTGACGACCTCTGTGGGCTTGGGCCACTTAATTCCTCTATTAAGTTTCTCTATTTGTGCAGTTTATCTATTTGTGAAGTTGGGTTATTAATAGTATCTACCTTTTCGGGTCATTCTAAGTGTTAAATAAGTCAAGTGTTCGCTGTTGGTGACATTGCAGTCATCACGCTCATTATTCTAAAAGTGGGCAAGGTGTGCTGTGAAGCTACGTCGTCTCAGTAGTCCTCAATGGGCAATGGCATACAGCCGTCTTTCAGCCTTAGTCCAGGCTGTAAGTATTCGCAGTGCAATCAGGTGCAGTGCATCAAGTGTGAGAGTTTTAGCAGAGCCTCAGTCCTTTCCGAGTTAGATTCCACATTTCTCATGAGAGTTGAAGATTGTGTATAGTCAAGATTACCTTTGAAAATCCCTTGGGAAGACACCACATTGAAGCCTATGCTATCTCTCAAAGAATTCAGCACAACTAATTTTTGCTCCAGTTTTGGAAAAGAAATCGTGTTTCTTTGCCGGAGCCCCAGATAAAATCTTGGCTTACATTTGCTGGCCGTGTTGTAGTTCATGCATTTTTTTAACATTAGTATGACACTCATAAAGATGAGATACTCACACTATGGCAGGCATGTTGGAACTGGACCCAACTGAGAGAAGAGCAGGTTCACATCTGCACTTACTTGGTGTGTACACATACTGAGTCAAAAGGCAGGGAAGTCACCAGACCCGTTTAAGGGATGATTTTACTACCCTTTTATTGGATTGGCATATTAATTGCATTCACTGTCACTTGATGGTGCAACACCCTAGTATACAGAAAAGCGAGATGTTATCCCTGCCCTCGGGGAGGTTCCAGTCTAGTCGGAGGGTGAACACCAAATACACGAAAAGGTAAACCAAAATACTGAATTGGAGGAATATGTGCTACCCCTATTATAGCTAACTTTCATTGAGCATTTCCTGTGCTTCAGACACTATTAGCTCATTTAATCCTCATGACAAGAAGACAGGTGCTATTATTATTATTTCCATTTTTTCACAAGAATAAACAAAAGCAGGGGAGATGAAATGATTCACCCAAGGTCACCCAGGCAGTCTGGCTGTGGAGCCTTCTCACCCGGGCCACTACACTACCTGCCTAAACAGTGGCACTGGTGGGATCTGGGAAGGCTTCAGGGTGAGGCATCGAGTGAATGAGCCTTGAAATGTGCATGTAAAATCTGAATAGATGGAGGGACACTGCGGGTGCTCTGAGAATATGTCTGTAAATGGAGCTCAAGGGAGAGGAAAACAAATGGGGTAATCATGAAGGAGAAGCAATGAAGAAGGCTGAAAAGATGACTTCAGATTTTAAAAGGTGTTTCATGATATATGTGAAAAATATAATACTAGAGTTGTAATATTTCATTGGGAGTTTCTTTTGGTGTAAGCCTGGAATATTTCATTTATAAAAATGTAAGCACATTGGCAGTAATGTTTTCCTGTTTCTAGCACGGAGGGGAAAAACATTAGAACAGAAAATGAAAGTGTTTTGCTTTTGCATTTAATGAGGTTTTCTCTCTTCCTAAAAACATCTTGCAGGGACATCGATGGAGTATTGCAGCGAGCAAATAATACAGAGTACGGCTTGGCCTCAGGGGTTTTTACGAGAGACATAAATAAAGCTATGTATGTGAGTGAAAAGCTAGAGGCAGGAACTGTTTTTATTAACACCTACAACAAGACGGATGTGGCAGCCCCTTTTGGTGGGGTTAAGCAGTCTGGCTTTGGAAAAGACTTAGGTATGACTATGCCTTACCTTTCTACTGCACATCACAGAACAGCCCGCTTCATGCAACACTCTTGTATTGCTTTAAAGGGCATTTCCTACATGGCAGTTGCATCTGGGCTTTCAAGGGTACTCATTTTTTTCAAAGTTAAACATTTTTATTGAACATAACGTAAATATAGAAAAGTACTCAAATTGTGTGGAAAAGTGTTTCCTTTTAAAAAAGAAGATTCCTGTTGAAAAGAAAACCCTGACAATATCTTTTAGCTAAAATATGTTAGGTTTGTTTTTCTTTTTAACCTGACATTCAGCATGAACTTGGTTTAGACGTCATGGGACCAAGTGGAACCAAGAAAGGAAAATGGGTAGAAGGCAATAACCAGCTAGCCCCAAGAATAAATCCTGTCTCTGAGCCACCTGGCAGTCTTTCAGAGACAACATTGAAACTGGCAGAGTTTTCTGGGCATCTGGGAGCTCAGATTGAGAGTCTGCAGAGAGCCCAAAATGTAATTCACCGTGGGCAGTAACACTATCACATTTCCAGTTACAGCTTACTTTGAACACTAAATATGTACCAGGCCCTATTCTGATACTCTACCTGTAATAGCACGAGCAGTCCTCACAATAGCCATGGGAGTGTAGGTGCTATTATTATCTTTATTTTACAGACGGGAAAAATGGGGCTCAGAGATTTGGGGTAACTTGCCCAAAGTCAGCCAGACAGCCACTGGGAAAAAGAATGCAAAGCCAGACAGTTGGCTATGCAGCCCATGTTCTCACGCCCCATAGTCAGTCTGGCAGGTTGTTTCAAAAATTGAAATGCTTGTGATTTACTGCAATTACAGTCTGCTAACATAAATTGGGTTAATTTGGGGTATTTTTACATTTTCTCTTTCCTGAAGACTTTTGGCAGTGTATTTGCAACAATAAAAGTGGCTCTCATTTTAAATTCCATTGAGTTGAAGGTAAAGTCTTTTTTTTTTTTTTTTCATGTCTTCAATCTGGCTTTCATCCCTGGATCCAAAACACATGGGGAGATTTTCTTAGGGAAATTATTTTTATAAAGTGAGACAACAGTGTTCCACTTGTCTTTTGATAGAGAATGATCGACACACTTCACGTCTGTTTTATTATAAAACAGTAGACTTTGTCTAACAGTTTCTTCCTCTCCTAATTTGAAACTCCCTCAGCCCAATGGTTCCCAGGTGCACATTGGATTACAATCACCTGGGAGCTTTAAAAAAAAAAAGGAAAGATGCTGATCTAATTGGTCTGGGGTATGACCTGGGATCAGGAATTTTAAAAGCTCCCTAAGGTGATTCTAATTTAACATTAAGAAGCCTGGGTTTAGCTCAACTTCCAGAATCATATACTCATTAATTTCACCTGTGGTATTCATGCCCTTTAACTGTTGTAGAAATCAATGATTGTGGTAGCTCAAAATAGGAACAGAATAGAAGCAGAAAGGCAGACCTATTTATTTTTTCCTGGATATGCCCCTGTGTCTCTAACATACTATGTAAGTCAGGAAAACTGCCTTTCCCTTAACTTTAAAACAAGATGAGACCAAATGATCTCAAACTTTCTTTGCTCTATTCTGCTTCATTTAATGTAATCAGAAGGACAGTATCCTGATCACTTCTGTTCAGCCTGAACGGGCAAGGAATAGACATGGAGATTTGTCATCAAGCTGGGAAATAAAGGAAGGGTTTGGGGTAGAAAGTGATAAGCCAACACTCTGGTCCTTAGGAGACCTGGTAGCTGGTCTAAACCCTCGCTCGTCAAACTGTGCACCACAAGCCTCAGCATCATCGGGGAGTGGTTAGAAACATATAACCTTGGGGCCTCTGCCGGACTTAATCCGATCAGAATCTACAGTGTCACAAGATCTGCAGGTGATTCACATGAAATTTAAAGTGTGAGAAGCACTGCCTCAGCCCCATTCTATTCGCTTAGTGACTGATATGCCTGCACCTGTGTCCAAGATCTGGCAACATCACACCCACCTGTGAACGTGGTCCATCAGCTGCTTTTCTCTTCCCCAGGTGAGGAAGCTCTAAACGAGTACCTCAGAACCAAGACCGTGACGCTGGAATATTAGAGCAGTGCCGTCATCAGGAACCCCTCTCAGACAGCACCGCTCCGCAGCTCTCCACACCGAAGAAGCCGGGCTGTGCTGAGGAAGGAGGTGTCAGCCACCAGCTGAAAAAAACCACAAGGACCACAAAGAGGGTCGGGCCACGTGTCTAAGCATTTACACGTGTTCCTGAGTATTTTCTAATACCCCTTTTATACCTTAAAATGATGTGTAGTTGTTGGGTTTTGACTATCTCATATACCACACATATTTCTAAAATATCAAGCTGCTTTTTTTGTTCCCCACCAAGACTAACCTAGTCATGGTTGTTCATCTTGCAGATGTCAATATCATGCAGTTATAATACAGAAAGTGCATTGTTAGGAGCCCTTGTATAATATGTACAGGTTTTAACCTCTGAACCAGGCATATAGGGTTGTTAAAAAGATTTTATGTAATTTTGCTCTCAAGAAACAGTATATCCTCTAAGGAATGTGAAGGAAGTTCTTTTTTTTTTTTTTTTTCCTTTTGGAAATAAGATACATCTTTGTGCCTTTGATGTTCTATTTTTCAACCCACTGTGATGAGTGACCAATCCAGAAACAGTTCTTGAGTACCTACCAAGTACGAGGTACTATATTATGTCCTGAGGAGTATACAAAATTTAATGACATGATCTTTGGGCCCAAATAGTTTAAATTCTAGTCAATAGCTTTTAAAGTGGATTTTATAGTATGATGTATTATAAAGTAAATAGCTTTTGGAGGCTTATCTTGGTTCATATCATACCATCTTACTATCTATGTGACTTTGGGAAACTTATGCAACTTCTCAGAGCCTCAGTCTCCTTATATGTAAAATGGGGACAGTAGTGCCTCCCTCGGAAGCCTTATTATGAGGATTCAATGCAATAATCTTAGTACAGCACCTTGCACTGGGCTTTGTTTGTGGTAAATCCTCAAATACTCAATAAAAGTTAAGTGCTTTCCCCATCACTATTTTAAAAATATAGTGAGATATATTAGTTCAATGAATTAATTTCCCTACAACCCTTTCCAGTAGTCATCAATTCCTATGCTGCTTTTCTCCTCCATTGTCTGACCCAGCACCTGATACAGCAGCACTGGAAAATACCATGTAGTGAAAAATGGTACAAGGAAAAGGGTGCTTTTCTCTCTACAGCTCATTCGTCCTTCTAGGACATTTGGTTTCCCATTCTCCTACCAATTGGTTCTGCCGCCCACTAGCTGGGTGATCTTGGGCAAATTAGTTACCTAATATCTCAAAGCCCAGATTTGGCATCTATAACACAGGGATAAAGTCCCTATCTCATTAGGTGTTGTAAGGATCCGGTGGGATAATATACATAACGCACTCAACAAGGTGTCTGGACCATTCTCTGCGCTCAAGAAAGAGGAATTATTACAACCCATGTAGTACTCACGTAATTGCTCATTGTCAGACAAGAGTAGGTGGGTAGATTCTAACCATCCATGTATGACTAGAAGAAGGTGAGATCCTGAATTGAAGAGTCTTTGGCAGGTGGTCAGAGCAATTAATTTCCATGAATCCTCCTTTTAAAGTAAAATTTCAGTAAACATCTCTATCTCATTGGCTTTGAAGAAGCCCTTAGGGATTACTTGTTACTTCGGAAACTTGGCAGCTTAACGTCAGAAGAATGTACGGAATCAGTAATCAATAAACAACAATAACAAAAATCAGGGGCAGAAAACATTCAATAGGAATAATATCAGAGATGATCCTGGATGATCAACAGAGCAAATTTTGCCTGTAAGCATTTTTTATTGTACCACAGCTCATTCAGAGCTCGGCACAGGTGAAATTCTAAATGTGGACCCAGCTGGGTTCAAACTGACAGTTCATATTTGAATAAAATGACAATGTTCTTAATAGAAAGGAACCACTTTTTAAATGCAGTGTTTTAACTGATTTCATGTGATTTAAAGTATCACTTTACCAGATATTTTAATGATAGATGAAATGGCAAACAAAAACCTGGCCATTTCTTCTAGAATGACTTTTACCCTCTAATATTACTCTCACTAGCAGTGCTTTTAATAGTTTTTGGGCCATAAACCTCTTTGAGAATCTGATAAAAGCTATAGATCTCCTCTGTCCCAAACTCACACGTACACACCTAGTTCTGCAAATAACTTCAAGAGATTCACAGACCTCCTAAAACCCATGCTTGACCTCCAGATTAAGAACTCCCTTTTCCCATAGCGAGTTCTAAAGTTCTCAGCGGCTTGAGTTTTTATATCCGACTGCTGGCCAGAATCAAAGGCTCCATGGAATTTAAAAAATTACCAGTGAATTTGAATTGGAACGTAACAATGCACGGCCTACTAGGTGATTTAATTAACACACTGAGTAATTAATTTATCACCATTTCTTCAGATCACTGATTATTTTGCTAATCTAAAGGAGAAAGCTGTGATCTGTCCCCCGAACCGGGGAGTTGGGGAGGTGTAGACACTTTTAAAAGTTCTGTTTTCCTTCCAAGTCCACTTCCTGATGCCTTTGCTAAAGCAGCCCCCCGCACCCACCCACCCCCCCAGCCTTTTACTGAAATACACCCTCCCTGGCCTCTCCTATCCCCCAACTTGCTTGTAAGTGTCTCTCTATCCTCTCACTTGTCTGGAACATAGTACTTACCACTTGGTGCTGGAATTACTGGTCTTCCTAATTAGATATGAGCACCCCTCCCCCACCCCCAGGACTGGCATCTGTCAATAACAACAGCTATCATTTATTGAGGGGCTGCTGTGCGCTAGTCACTATGCTAAGCCAACTTAATCTTCACAACATCTGAAAAGATGAATAAATCAAGGTGCTCTTTTTCCTGGCTCCACCACTACCAAGAGGTTATCGCCAGTCTCTTGACTGGCCTTCCCAATTCCTCCCTGTGTGACTCTCTTCAAAGCTTGAGTCAGATGGTGTCACTCCTCTGCTCAAAACCTTCTAATGGCCCCCATTTCACTTAGAATAAAGTCCAGTGTACTTACTGTGCAAAGTCCTATCAATTCTGTTCCCAGCTACCTCTAACTTCATCTCCTATCAACTACCCTCTCATTCTCTTTAGCCACCCTGGCTGCCTTGATGTTCCTCCAACTGATCAAGCACACTGCTACCTCAGGGCCTTTGCACTTACTGCTCTTTCTTCTTAGTGGTGTGCTGGTAGATATTTAACAAGTGGCTCTCTGAGAGGAAAAGAAAACTCTGATTTGTAGCATTTGCTGATTTCTGTGTACAGATGCTCTCACGAAGGCTGATTTCAAGCTACCAACTTGACTTCACTGAATGCAGAGTTGGGATGAGATGTGGGTAATTAGAACAAGTGTGGGCCAGCGCCAGCACACCACTGCCTCTTCCTGAAACTCTTTCCCCACATACCACCCCCAGCTGGTGGCTGCCTTACTTCCTCCAAGTCTCTGCTCAAACATCATCTTAGTAGAGATCCATTTGCTGACCACTCTTCCTAAGATAGCACATAGATCCCCATATTCACACCTCATCTGTCCTCATTCTTTAGTCTCCTTCTCCTGCATTATTGTTGTAGCACTTACCACCACCTGGCATAGTTATTATCATCGATTTCTTCCCATTAGAATGTAAGCTTCGTGAACAGGTGCTGCTTCGTTCAAGGACGTTATCTCCAGTGTCTAACACGTAGGAGGAGCTCAATAAATATTTGCTTTCAAATGAAAGAGGTTAAGAAACCTGCCCAGATCACACAGCTATTCAGTGGCAGAACAGGCACTCAAGCAATGAAGCTGGTAGTCTTAACCAAGCTAAGATGCTGTTACTGCCGATGCCTGAATCAGGCCCTCAGTAATGAATAGCAGGCAAATGTTAAACATTTGTCAAAGTAAAAAGCTAAGCAGAGTGAACATTAGCTGCAAGAGCTTTTGTGAAAATGACTAGACAGGACAAGGAACTAAACTGGTTCCCCCATACCTCCCTTCTAAGACAATAGAAGCTATCAAGGGAAACCTGGGCTATAAGTAGATTATCAGACATGAAACATGATGGATAGGGTGGATTATTATTATTATACCTATTATGCAAATAACACCCAAGCGGATTTTTAAAATGATTAATACCTAATTTTGTAAAAATAATAAAATGGGAAGGTAAGATTCAACCATAAACTCTCCACAAATAACCACAGATATTTGAGATGTTCCAGATTTTTTCTATGAATACACTTTTTTTAGAACTAGTATAATACTGTACATAACTTTACCTGCTTTTTTCAATTAACAATATGTAAGCATCTTTCTATGTCAATAAACATACCTCTGCATATGTTCAGTGGCTTTAATTCAACTTGTTCTCTACTGTTGGACATTTGTATTTGCTTTCTGCTATTTTAAATGTCACAGTCAATCTTAGATAGAAATTTGTGAACTGTTATTTGCTTAATTAGAATAAATTCCTAGAGGTGGAATCTGATTAAAAGGATATAGCAATCTGTAATCTCACCAACAGTTTCTCCAAAGTTTTGCCACCACTGTGCATTATTCTTTTTTAAAAAAATTTAATTAATTTATTTTTGGCTGCATTGGGTCTTCGTTGCTGCGTGCGGGCTTTCTCTAGTTGCGGTGAGCTGGGGTTACTCTTTGTTGTGGTGCGCGCGGGCTTCTCACTGCAGTGGCTTCTCTCTTGTTGCGGAGCACCGGCTCTAGGCGCACGGTCTTCAGTAGTTGTGGCACGCAGGCTTCAGTAGTTGTGGCTCGCGGGCTCTAGAGCGCAGGCTCAGTATTTTGGCGCACGGGCTTCGTTGCTCTGCGGCATCTTCCTGGACCAGGGCTCAAACCCGTGTCCCCTGCACTGGCAGGCAGATTGTTAACCACTGCGCCACCAGGGAAGCCCTGTGCATTATTCTTACAGCATCATAATACCTCACACTTACCAAGCGCTGTTCTAAGCACATGATGAGTATTAACTCATTAATTTCTTACTGAAACCTCATAAGGGAGATACTCTTATCCCCGTTTTACAGATGGAAAGTGGCTGGGCTGGGATCGATCCAGCTTCAGAGCCCATGCTTGTGGCATAGTGACTGCTAGGCCCACAATGGCAGGATGTGGCTGACTGAACTTAAAAGTTGGCTCCACCAGTTACCTATTGTAAGGCTTTAAAAAAATTTGCTTAGTGTCTCCCTTCCACTTTTTTTTTTTCTTAAATCTGTGAAGTAGGTACAAGAGAATATCTCATAAGATGGTGGTCTTTTTTTTTTTAAAAAAACAAAAAGGAAATTTATTGTGTCACAAAACAAGAAATCCAGTGATAGTTTGGTCTACAGTTATTTGATGCAGTAACTCAGTGATGTTCCTTGCTTCTCTTTGCTATCCTTGACGTGCCGACTGTACCCTCAAGAGCTGGCTCCATTTATGGCCACTAGGCCAGAGTTCCAGGAATCATATCCAGTCACAAGATATCCATGTTCCAAAAGAAAGCAGCCATCTTTTCATGTACCTCTTTTTTAGGAATGAGAAATCTTCTTTCCAAAAGTCTACTAACAAGACTTGGCTTGTGCCTCTTTGGGAAGGTTGTCACATGCCCATCCCCAAGCCAATCACTGGCAAGGATCTTCCATGAACATATGGTGAGGAATCAACCACAAAGATTCCACCATTAAACTTCTGGGAAAAGTCTACCAATCAAAAGATAGTAAACCTGTCTTCTTTCCTCAGGATTGTGAACCACTGATGTTTAACATGTATTACTTTATTGGCATCAAGAGGAAAAAAAAGTTTCACGAACATTTATCGTACATTCCGAGTGAAAGGCACCATGCCAGGCACTGAGGAAATACAAATGAAAGACTCAACCTCTTTACTTGTCTTTCCTACCATAGTAGTGGACTCAGGCACAGGAATACGAGCTACTTTGCAAGGCAGTTTTTTTTATAAGTACCATATTTGATGCACAGTTAAAGTATTAGGAGGATAGAGGAGACTCATTAAGAATATTTTTGCTTCAAAGACCATTACACCTAATTTTCTGATTTATGACTGTCAAAGAGCCATAGAAAGATAATACACAAGGTTGAAGAGAACATTTCATCAGCCTTAGCAGGAACAGAACTGTTCTCCAAATGGCGGCCATCACCTCACACCAAAGCATCAGGCAGAGAACCCACAGGGTCAGACCAACCAAAGCACGATGGTGATTTAATTTCCAAGAGACTGTACAGCGCACTGCTTACAAACAAAACAGCTTTTTAATTAAGGTATAACATACATAAAGTGCACCGATGTTAAATGTATAACTCGAGAAATTTTTGTGCGTGAGTGGCAGTAACTCTTAAACATAAAACACTCAGAATAGTGGCTAACACATAAAAAGGGCTCAGTTAAGTACTAGCTGTTGTTTGATCTGCCACTTTGAGAGGTAAAAAATACATTGGTTTCATTTGCATTTCTTTGAGAAATGGGACCGAACATTTTTTTCCTGTGAATTACCTGTTCAAGTCCTAAGGCCTTTTCACTATTGAGATACTAGTCTTTTTTTTTTTTTTTACTAATTTGAAAGAGCCCATTATATAACACTCACTCTTGCCTTACAATGAAATTATTTTTCCCAATTTGTCCCTTGACTTTTAAACTTCTTTGCCACCCACTAGTTTTAAATATTTATGAATTTTATGCTTTCTTTTTTTTTTGTAATTCTACATTCTTTTTTTCAATTTTATTTATTTTTTTTGGCTGCATTGGGTCTTCATTGCTGTGCACGGGCCTTCTCTAGTTAAGCTGAGTGGAGGGCTACTCTTCGTCGCAGTGCACAGGCTTCTCATTGCAGTGGCTTCTCTTGTTGTGGAGCACGGACTCTAGGCACGCAGGTTTTAGTAGCTGCAGCACATGGGCTCAGTAGTTGTGTCTCGCGGGCTTAGCTGCTCTGCAACATGTGGTAACTTCCTGGACCAGGGATTGAACCTGTGTCCCCTGCATTGGCAGACGGATTCTTAACCACTGTGCCACCAGGGAAGTCCCTACATTTTTTGGTTTGAGGGCCTGCACCATTTTACATTCCCACCAGCAATTCACAAGGATTCCGATTTCTCCACATCCTAGTCAACAGGTGCTATTTTCTGGTTTATTTTTATAATAGCCGTCCCAATGGATGTGGTAGTATCTCATTGTGATTTTTATTTGCATTTCTCTAATGTTAATGATATAAAAGCACAACTTTTCATGTGCTTATTGGACATCTGTATTTCTTCTCTGGAGAAATGTCTATTCAAGTCCTTTGCCCATTTTTAAACTGGGTTTTTTGATGAGTTGTGGGAGTTATTTATATATTCTGGATGTTAACCCCTTATCAGAGATATGATTTACATGATATAAACATTCTTAAATGATACACTAATTTTAAAAGGGCTATGGGGGTGGCGGGGTGGGATGAACTGGGAGATTAGGATTGACATATATACACTAATATGTATAAAATGGATAACTAATAAGAACCTGCCATACAAAAAACAAACAAATAAAATTCAACAACAACCAAAAAAGGGCTATAGGAGACTTACTTCCCTGGTGCTCCAGTGGTTAAGACTCTGCGCTCCCAATGCAGGGGGCCTGGGTTCGATCCCTGGTTGGGGAACTAAGATCCCGCATGCCGCACAGTATAGCCATGTTCCAGACAAAGTCACCAGCCTTGTGGAAATTCCATTCTAGTTCATATTTCAGAGCCCCCAAAACTCCAGGCTTTAGTTTAGTGGTATCATTCACTGGGAGGATGAAAACAGGGGATGATCCTTTTTTTTTAGGGGATGATCTGAAGAGGAAGAAATTGAGTTCCATTCACACAGTCTAGTTCAGATGGCAGCCGAATGAATACTCAGTAATGGAAGACTTTAGGGAAACAGTTTCAAAAGCCAAATTGCAGAGGGCTGAAAAGTTAGGAGTTTAAGCAGATGGTATAGACTACTCTAAAGCAGCTTTGGGACAAATGACGGAAACAGATGGGATGGCTGGGGTGTGACAGAATGAGAGATCTTGGTAGGTCAAGTGAAGTAATATGTTGCCATGAGAGTGTGGTGGAAGTATTCCTGGGATCCGGTGGGTAAAGTGAAGTCAAGAGGGCCTAAGACCTAGACCAGTGATTCTCAAACTTGACTCTATGCTCTTTTCCTTTGTAATTTCAAGCTTTGATGTTCTGCTTTAAAAAAAAAAAAAAAAAAAAAAACTTTTGCCCAACTATGTTATTAAATATTCACCTATATTTTAGTATGAAACTTGTAATTTTATTTCTTTATATTTAAACCTTTAAGACATACATACCTTAGTATCCAACTTTGTTTAAAAACAGCCATCCCTGACTCTGTATATTAAATAATTCAACCATTTTACACTTACTTAAAACGACATCCCTATCACATATTAAATTTTTGTTTTTCCTTTTCCTCCTATGTCATAAGAATGTCCAGAGGAACTGAATTTAGTTGACTTCTTTAACTGTATAGAATACCTAGTTGTATTATATGAGAAGGCCATGGCAGGAGAGAAATATAATTCTACACACTAGTATATATTTCTAGACTGACTAGTCTCTTTCACTGACCATCAGACTATTTCTACTAGGCTTTGTATTTCCGGTGAAGTTACACTTTCATATCCGCATGGATACCATGGCTTAAAATGCCCTGTACATCCTCAATACACCTGTAAATTCATTTATCTACATCATTCGGTGCCTACTGTGTACCATGCACCAAGCTAAGGAGTGAACCAGACAAATGCAACTCTTCCCACAATGTGGCATAAATATTATCTAGTAGAAGACAATCCTTAAATATTCACACCAATAATTCATCACACCTGTGTTTGGTGCTACAAAGTACAGCATAATACCCTTTGCAGCTGAGAAGTCTCCTTTCCAGATCTGTTCACTTCTGCACACCTTGAGTGCACAGCCAATTTCCAATTCCCAATGAAAAATACCAGAAGGAACTTGGAGAATTATCTTCAGAGTATTTACAAGATGTCGTAGGCTAATGAGAGGAGTAGGAAATAATAGTTAAAACAAACCCCTAAAATATTAGGCAACAAAGTCCCATCAGCTCAATGCACTTGGAGACAGTCCTTTAAATTCTCAGGTCTATATCCTGAGCAAAGCCAGTCCCATGGCAGATGAGATCCCAAACAAGTTAAATAAGATCAAGAATGTGGCAGAAAGGCAACTCCAATGCAGGATCATTTTGCCTTTTGAAAGGGAAAACCTGTTACTACCTTTTTATGTACTGTGCTCTATTTTCCTGGGGTGTCCCTATTCTCTACAATTAATAGGTTTCAAAAGTGTGGGCAACGGGGAGGAATAAT